TCCTGTGTTCCTCTGAGCATATATGACCAAAAACTCCCTAAAAAACATACAAACACACAGAGGCAATGCCTTCAATCTCACAAGGTTTTCAAAAGAATCCTGCTTAGTATTCCTCGTTATCTACTGCGCACATTCAGCAACAATAGAACTGCCACTTAATTACTAGTAAGAGACTTTTGACCACAAGTTCGTGCATGTGACCTCTGTTCCTGCTTGTTGGGATTTAGAATCCAGCAAAAGAGGGAGTGCTGGGGTGAAGGCAGACAGTGCCCCCTGATCTCAGGGCAGTGAGTGGACACAAAGGTTTTCTACAGAAATCAGGGACTTGTCTCTGGAAATCAAGGAAGACACTAGTTATATACATTAATTGATTTAGTCAAATGATGGAGACAGAAAATTGACTCAGTAATGGATCCTGTAAAATGATTATGAAGATTTTAGGTTAGAGTTAAGATGGGAGTATGAAAAGTAGGTTGTTTTCTGTTATAAAGTTTGACTACAGAGAATTTTCACGTAACTCCCCTTGTCGGTCCTTCTGATTTGAGTATAGGTTTTTCCCATCAGAAATGGACACGGTTTTCTTGACCTTGTCCAGTAGATGCCAGAGGAGAAAAGTGGAGACTGTACTGCAGTAGACAGAGAGCCTGATCCCTTCCCTCATATAGGCAGTGGATTGGTATGTAATGTTGTCTGCGGTAGACGGCAATAATTAGCTGTCAGCACTGATGGCCTCTCTCCAACAGAGCTGGACTTTGGGTCACTCCTGAGTTCCTTGACTGACATGTCAAAGTTTAGAAAAAGTAGAGCATTATGGCTACCACGAGCAAAAAGTTTGGTAACATTGCCAAGAATGAATGCTAGAAAATTCTGACTGATATAGAGGTGATGTGCTTTTTTAAGAATATGGTCAAAGGAAGTAAAGGTTTGGGGTGAAGAGATTTCTACATGTTTAGGTAATTCTAAAAGCACGATTTTATTGGCAGGGGAACAATACCCAGTATATTAGCTTCTGAGAACAGTGGTCTAGTCTGTGGTTTGCTGTTGTGCATGGGCACATTCTGTCCCTCTGCACTTCGCTGGTTTGAGAATGTACTTTAAGTTGGAAGGCTCAGTATTGCACTAGATTAGATTTTTATGAGTCACAGACATGGAGGGTCAGCCTGACCAAAATAGGATTCCCTGTGACAGTTTACTGCTGTTAGAATTGAATCTTTAATCAAAAATAAGCAAAAACCTAAACATTTGAGAAACAGAATTTAGCTCATTTTCTCTAATTTAGTCTTCATAAAGGATAGAATCTAAATACATTCTTAAAGGGCCTTCTGAGCAAGAACATAGCAAACAATTTCCAGAGTGGTCCAAATTTCATTCTCATTTCTGCGATCTCATGTAGTTGTATCCCCAACCTCCTGTGGTAATAGCACCATATTATTAGCACTGTGCAGACTCTCTTATAGTCTGGATGGCTTCCAGGAGAGCCCACTACGTTCTTCAGCTCCTGGGTTTTGTATCCTAACCTAAATTTCCAGGAACAGTCCCGGTGTTCCTTGCTAGTAGATTGGGATTCTCTGCTGCCTAGGGCAGAACGGATCTATCATAAAACACACTCATACATTATGCAAGTGATAGCATAGCTGTAATTGACAGTGGGATCAGCAGGGTAAGAAAACTACAGCTACTGTTTTACTAAATCCTGAGGATTATATTCCCAAAGGTGTCAGCTGATGATTTTCATCTCCCAAGGTGACCTTAACTAGTGTGACAGAAAATTGCTAGGATAACACTTTTAAAAATGCTTTTTACTCATTGGTTCTTAAAAATTGAACCCTTACTTCTGCATTAGAGAGAGAAACACGACAGTAGCTGTCCAAGAGATGATGAGCATCCTTGCATGGTGGAGACTGTTGCAGACCGCCCCAGGGGGTCCCTTGGTACCTAGCCAACTTACACATAAGGGAAGTGCTTGATAAGCATGTGTCAACATCCATGTGTCTCCTGGGCCTGTAGAGCAGAAAGTAAGTGGAAACTACTCAACATGGGAAGGAGTGAACGACACGTGGAAGAGATTCAAACATTGGAGGATTAGGTGGAGTAGATGAACTTCCCCATCCTCTCCTCCCTGAGTTCCATGTTCCGGTTTGTTTGTTTGGTTTTCCTTCTGGGAATCTTATTGTACCTGTCCTCAATACTTGAAGATTCCTTCCATGTTTTTTTGAGTTCTTTGGTGGTTTGGTTTATTTGTTTTTGACACCCTTTAATTTTTCTGAAGAAACGCCCATCCTGTGGCAATAGGGCGGAATTAACACTTTTCCTCATTGTTCTTCTCTTCTTATTCCTCTGGTCTTGAAAGTGTGGGCTTCAGATTCTAAGTGGCTCCTCTGCAAAAACCTGTCTGTTTTCATAAGGAACTTCTGGTGCCTGAAAGGCATTCTCGTGGCTCAGGATCCCCTTGCCTCCTGGGCTGCCACAGGACGGTGTTCTCTTAGCTAAGAACTGGCTGGGTTGCAAACGTAAAAGATCGTCCACAGAAGGCTCACAGGCAGTTCCTCATGTCTCTGGAGGGAAGTTCACTTCGCGCTAATGAGTGCGTCGACCTGCTCCTTCAGCCTGGCCCAGAGGTGCAAGACAGGCGCCAGAGGAAACCAAGAGCCAGGCTGGGGACCAGAGAAAGAGTGCGGCAGAGGGTGCTGAGGGCAGGCCCGAGGGAAGGTGCCCAGCGCAGGCAGGGGGCCTCCTGTGTCACACGGGGTGAGAAGGGCACTTCCCAAGCCTGTATTTTCCTTCCTAGTTCCTGTTTGACTGAGCTTTCTCCCAGGACATGAACTAAATTACAGTATGTTTTTAGACATAAATCTGTTATTTCAGTAAGGCTATAAAAACCCTGAGCTTTGCTTGTAACTGATAGGGTGCACACACTCCTTGAAGTAAAGGTGCTAATGTGAAGTGTTGGTTGGAGCTCTTGGTTTGCTGAATGAGACTGGAACCCGAGAGCCTTGACACTCGCCAGCCCTGTGCAGACTTCTGTCTTCATCCCTGGAGAATGGGAGACAGGCAGGCAAACAGCGGCAGCCTGGGAATGCGAGAGACCACATTTCTGTGATACTTATTTTGGGTAAAACATTCAAAAATATGTCCAAGCTGTAGACTCAGCTTCAGTAAACAGGGGGAAAAAGGGAAGTTGGAAGATAATATGTGGCATATTTTAACTGTGCTGGTTCAGATTGCTCTAGTCTTTGTTATTTTTGAATGATTCTGGTGATGTTTCTTTAAATTCATGTGCAATTATTGCTTCAAATGTTTCATTTACTCTGATTCTCTCCTATGAAGAAGGAAAAGATAGGACATTACTTCCTGTGTTCCTCTGAGCATATATGACCAAAAACTCCCTAAAAAACATACAAACACACAGAGGCAATGCCTTCAATCTCACAAGGTTTTCAAAAGAATCCTGCTTAGTATTCCTCGTTATCTACTGCGCACATTCAGCAACAATAGAACTGCCACTTAATTACTAGTAAGAGACTTTTGACCACAAGTTCGTGCATGTGACCTCTGTTCCTGCTTGTTGGGATTTAGAATCCAGCAAAAGAGGGAGTGCTGGGGTGAAGGCAGACAGTGCCCCCTGATCTCAGGGCAGTGAGTGGACACAAAGGTTTTCTACAGAAATCAGGGACTTGTCTCTGGAAATCAAGGAAGACACTAGTTATATACATTAATTGATTTAGTCAAATGATGGAGACAGAAAATTGACTCAGTAATGGATCCTGTAAAATGATTATGAAGATTTTAGGTTAGAGTTAAGATGGGAGTATGAAAAGTAGGTTGTTTTCTGTTATAAAGTTTGACTACAGAGAATTTTCACGTAACTCCCCTTGTCGGTCCTTCTGATTTGAGTATAGGTTTTTCCCATCAGAAATGGACACGGTTTTCTTGACCTTGTCCAGTAGATGCCAGAGGAGAAAAGTGGAGACTGTACTGCAGTAGACAGAGAGCCTGATCCCTTCCCTCATATAGGCAGTGGATTGGTATGTAATGTTGTCTGCGGTAGACGGCAATAATTAGCTGTCAGCACTGATGGCCTCTCTCCAACAGAGCTGGACTTTGGGTCACTCCTGAGTTCCTTGACTGACATGTCAAAGTTTAGAAAAAGTAGAGCATTATGGCTACCACGAGCAAAAAGTTTGGTAACATTGCCAAGAATGAATGCTAGAAAATTCTGACTGATATAGAGGTGATGTGCTTTTTTAAGAATATGGTCAAAGGAAGTAAAGGTTTGGGGTGAAGAGATTTCTACATGTTTAGGTAATTCTAAAAGCACGATTTTATTGGCAGGGGAACAATACCCAGTATATTAGCTTCTGAGAACAGTGGTCTAGTCTGTGGTTTGCTGTTGTGCATGGGCACATTCTGTCCCTCTGCACTTCGCTGGTTTGAGAATGTACTTTAAGTTGGAAGGCTCAGTATTGCACTAGATTAGATTTTTATGAGTCACAGACATGGAGGGTCAGCCTGGCTCTGAAAAGCTTTATCCCGCCCATGAGCAGATTCCAAACTATTTGCTCTGTTTGTGATCTACCCTACCCAACTTTAGTTTAGGAAATGGTGTGTTCCAGAATTTTCTTGGGAATGCACACCGTGGAAGGCAGCTTTGGCAACTGAGTCTTTTGTGGGAGCCCACGTGTAGAAGCACATTTCGTTCTTGGTCTGTGTTAGGAAGAACTGGTCCTTCTCTGTCATTCATCCTGCCGGCCCGCATGAAATGATCTGATGAGAATGCTCTCAAACTCAGAATGAATGGGTTGCAGTACCTGCAACCTCAAACAAAGATAAACACAGCAGAGATTACTTTCCCTCTTTTACAGGGTTGACCTTTATCACCATCACCTGCCTATCCCTTTGTGTACATGAAGTTTTACATCCAGAGACATCGATGTTATGGGAATATAATCCAACACTATATTTGTTTGTAAAGTTACTCATTCTTCTGTTCCCATGAACAGGTATCAGTATTACCTGCAGGTCAAAAAAGATGTACTTGAAGGGCGCTTGCGGTGTACATTGGAACAGGTGATTCGGCTGGCTGGCTTAGCTGTGCAAGGTAAGAGAGAGTGGTGCCCCATGTTTGAAATTTCATTTTCTATTTGATTTTGGTGTTGCTGGCCTCTCAGAGGGAAAAGTTAAATTTACTCAAATGATCCCTTAATAACTCTTGCTTTTCATTTCCAAATATCTTATGTTAAAAATGCAAAGTTTAGTGATTTTTGGTGGCAGCATAGGGAATTTCTCAAAGCTGTTTGCAAATTGCTCAGCTTGTGTAATTTTAATTTTATTTGGAGAAATAGAAGCTTTCATCCTGCCTTTAAGTAAAGCTACATTTCAGGGTTTGTGGAATATTTTCTCAGAATTACCACACTGCCCACTGTGGTCACATTTTTTGTCTTGAAGCTATGACTGTGTGACTTTCACATCAGTTTCACATCAGCTTTGAACATTATAGTGTAATATATTCTTACACAGTTAGAGAGATAAATTTAAAATGCATGATTGTACTATGAAACCAAAGACATGTATTGAAGTACATTACCTACTTAAATTTATCAGCTATTTTTATCATCTCTAAGTTACTGCATTTCTGACATGTTACATAATTTTTTTTACATATATATGTGTGTGTGTGTGTATATATATCTTCACACATTACTCTTTATCGAGTGTTGGCTTCATTGTCTTTAGTCATATTAAAAACAAGTGGATAAAAATATAGTTTTTAAAGACAAACGTGTTTCCTTTTTGTTATTTTCTTTGAAATCAGTTAATGTCTAAATGTACGCCTGCCAGCCACTGAGTTCTTGCTGTGTGGACTATTGTTTTAAAAGCTGTGAACTGAACTTCTCATCCCAAACTCTGAACTGAAGTTGAACCTTTTGGATTCTAAGATGTCTAAAGAAGGAGCCTTCCCTTGACCTCTTTCATTCTGGGGTGTTAGCAATTTAGTGATTTTTGGTAGATGTATGATTCCTAGCAGTTAGCTTCTGTTGTTACCCTGTGGATAGAGGTATACAAAATGTGATGTATCCCGTCTGTCCACTTACAGACTGGAAGGGGAAAGCACAATATAACAGGACAATAAGTGGTTATAACAAAAAACTCATTAAAATAATAGGGAAGACACCCTTAATAGGGAGGAGAGAGAGATCTTGTAAGTGCCTTTCTTCAAATTGGATCTTTTCCCTTTTAAAAAGCTTTCTTTTCTGTTTGCTTTATTTACTCTCTTGTGTTTCTCTCTTGCTCTTCCATCCTTAGACTTATTTCAGGTGACCTGGGTATTGGAGGACCCTGGTGATAGTTTTCAGGCTGAAGGAGGCTGAATTTACTCTCAGTTCCCTGACTCACAGTCATTCGGTCCTTGAAGCTAGCTGTTTGTTCAGTCTGATGAAATCTCCTCTGGCTATAATATTTGTAAAATAATTTTCCTGAGAACTCTTAGTGGGCATTTAGAAAGCTACATCAATAGAGGTATAAGTTGTGATGAAATATGCTAACTGATGCCTAAACTTGAAAATGGCCACAGCATGTAATCTGTGCTATTCTTGAGTGCCTCGTCTGACGATTATTTAGGTACTGAGTTGGTAGGTACATCTTTGCTTCCTCAGCAACGTATTTACACTGGCTTCTCTAGGGACCCTTGCATTCTTTATCTCTTGTTACCTTAAAGATACCTGAATCCATTCTTACCGGATTCTGTATCTTTTACATGAAATTAAACTTTCATGCTGAGTTGATTTCCTTTTTTTTTAAAGAGCAGGTGGGGTTAGAAGCAAGGCACTTGCGGATTTATGATAGAGGCTCACTGAACTCATTTTGCATGTGCTCAAACATACCACTGTGAGATGAAAACAGGACAAAATAGAATGTCTGGCATCTTGCAACATGTGAATCGTTGAGGAGGTGTAAAAATTTGCAAGGTTGCTTGCCAACGGTGATTTACCCTGGGAATTTCCAGTGGCAAATACATGAAAAGACACAGATGGAATTGGCTCTGCAGTTCCCTAAATTAACCTTGAGTTAAAAAGTCCCCCTGGCAGATATTCTTAAGATAGGTGTTGATACATACTTAACAAAAAGGTCAGTATAGGTTTGTTTTGAAACTTTTAAAAGAGCTTTGGCAACACTTTCCGATTTCCTCGTTCTTTCTAGAAAGCTGTGGAGCAGTGTTCATGTGCTGATATTTACAGTATTGCTAAGTAAAGTGGTAACAATATCAAGCACAGCTTGGTGCTGGTTTTTAATTTAATAATAGTGCAGAAATAGGATGATGTGGAAGAATAAATGTGGTCAGGTTATCCTGTTTTATTCCATCTTTAATTTCATATAAATAGCAGTCCTCTCCCTTCTTTTCTTTTCAGCTGATTTTGGAGACTATAATCAGTTTGATTCTCAAGATTTCCTCAGAGAATATGTGCTTTTTCCTATGGTAAGTGTGATTTCCTTTGTCTTCATTAGTTTCATGCCTCCTGTAAACATTTAATTCTTTTCCTTTGAAGATTTCATAGGATTTTACACAGACATTCCCTGGGGAGGAAACTCCATATATTTTTAAAGTAGGGAAAAATTTTGTAAAACTGAACAAGTAAGGATGCCACGTCTACCTCCTCAAGACCCTTCTGCGCCTCCCCTCGACCCCCACCAAGCCCTGTGGTGCTCTTCTGTTTTGGGCACATGGAGTTTGTTTTCATCCCAGACCCTCTGTGCTTGGGTCTCCTCTGCCTGGAACGCTGTGCCCCAGATCATCCTGTGACTAGTCATTTGGGTCTTGATTCAAATATCACCTCCTCAGAGGGGCCGTCCTTTTCCTTGACCACCTAAATGATACATTCCAGCCATCAGCCGCTTCCAGCTAAGACACCTTTTATGTGTATACTTCAGAGCTTTTTCAGCATCTGAACCTGTTCGTCCTTTTTTTTCTTTTTTATTGTCAGCCAGAATGTCAGCTCCAGGACCCTTGAGCAGGACCCCCTCTGTCGTCTGGCACGTAGTCTGTGCTCGTAAAAGTTTGTGAATGAGTCAATGAAGTGCAACGCCCATTCCTGGGTTAAATTAGGGATAGGGCTAGGTTTCCATCTCTGGAGAATTTTTGTTTGTTTTTTTTGGTAGCTTTGAGGTTAATGAGAAGAGTTTTAACAAGGACTGATTAAAATACTTGAAAAGCCATTTTAGGGAAGAGCCGTACCCATTCCAACATTCTGGCTCTGATTTTAGAAATTGTCATCATTCCCCACTTATTTTTTTGATAAGCTGTTTTGCCCAAACTGCTGACCTGGGTAAATAACCTCCAGGGGATGAAGTTATATAAGAAATAGCGTTTATTCTCAGGGAGACGACAGAGCAGTTGAGTAAATAGGAAGTTTGCAAAATCAGAATACAAAGCCAAGTGTCATAAAGTAGGCATAGCCAGGGTTTTATGTGAGGAGAGGTTCCATGTGCTCCGAGGATTAGGGAAGGTTTAAGGATGAATGGTGTCCAAGTGGCGTCTTAGAAGATGAGCAGGACTGCAGTGGGCAGAGAGGAAGGGGGCGAGGAACAATCAGACAGAGACAGCAGAGGCCAGGCAGCACGGATGACTGGGTGAGTCAGCTGGGCAGTGTGACTGTCCTCAGGGGTGCTGGAGGGCGGTGGCGGAAGATGAGACAGAGACTCCTGAGGAGCTCGAATGCATGGGCTCCATCCCGGTTTGCAGACCACACGCTTTGAGAACCGCTAGATCAGTGCATTGAGAGCATGTGTGGAGGAGGTCAATACAAACATCTCCGTAAGAAAGACAATAGGCAGACTGTGGTACCAGCAGAGAGACACAGATGGAGCGAAAGAGGTAGGTCCACTGGTTGGACGGCTTCCATCTAGGGGAATATGGGAGCCTTGTCAAGGGAAGGGTAGCCGAGATGAGACCGGAAGTATAGGGTGACATTTCATACAATGTGACTGGTCTGGGTGGTTCTTCCAGGAAGGGTGGACGTGAATGTGAGTGGAGACATGAAAGCAGTCTGTTTCAGGAAGAAGAGTTTGCCAGAGGCCTTGAACCCTTAAGAGAGGAGGTCTGGAAGGGAAAGGTGGGTCACACTGAAGAATGGTCTGAATGCCAGGCCCAGGTGTTGACCTGATTGGGTAGGCAGTGGGGAGCCACAAAAGGTTGCAAACTTTCTGCTTGGTTCCACTAGAGCTTTCAAAGAGAAGAATGCATGCCTTTGGTGGGGGAGGGAAGATGGCATGAATGGCTGCATTTGATCTCATAAAGCAACCGCATTTGTCAAGTGACATTTACGCAGCAGAGAAAAGAACAAAGTTAAGTACACAGGGCACTCCACAGGTGTGTGGCTGTGTACAGGCATGTGCTCAGCCATTTTTCATTCGTGTGGGGCCGCTCTTGCACGTCTCTGTGGCAGGGACACATACCGCAGGGCGGCCCCAGATGCAGAGAGAGGCGGTTGAGTCGAGTACAATAGCAGAGAGACCTTTGGACTTTTTTCTTCTTTAAAAATAGGAAGCAGAGTTTAATGGAGCATGTTTTGATCTTCACTTGTCTTTATTTTATTCTTTTGCCACATGCCTTTCTTTGCTTTTTAAAACTGACATTAAGTTATTATGACTCCTCAATACCTGGACGCACACATACAGCTAAATTTCTAAGCCATGTAGTATCTTTGTTATGCCAGGACACAAACCTGAAAATCACAGGCTTATTTCCTTCCTCGCATGGACTTGAGTCATTTCAATGGATGGCTAAACAGGAAACAGAAAATTAATCAGATAACATACGAAAAATAAGAGCTGCCGGGAATTCCCTCTGTGCGTTCTCTGAGGGCTTTTGTGGTCATCTGCAGGGCTATAGGATTTCCAGGGTAGAGTTACACTCTCATTTTCCAGCTTTAAAAAAATACTGAGTTTTCACATTTTGCTGATTTGAGATGGGGTGTTTTTTGCAGTATTGAGGTGTATGTACCTTTTTGGGGTAGAGTTTCATCCTCAAGAAAAAAAAATTAGAGGTAACTTTTATATAAATGGCATTTTAGGATCAAGGGAATGAGGCATTGGATGTTTTCTGCCGAAACATCGTCCTCCAAACCCCCACCCCCAATGTGTTTGATGAGCTTCAGAGGTCCTGGCCACAATACAAGGCTCAGAGCCCCTGTGGAGTGACACCCTGCAAGGGCACATCTCTACCCTCCTTGGTGCCTGTCAGCCTGGGCATTGTGGCACCTGCTGCCTGGGAAGGTCGGAGGCAGCTGGCCCTGCGACTTAAGCCTCCCCAGGCCTCCACAAGGATGAGATGAGCTGCAGAGTCACGATGTGTGTCAGTGTCTCGGGAACTGATTGCTGGGGTCTCTGGGTCTTGATTTACTCCTGAAGACCCCATCTCTCCAGCTCAGACAGTGCTTTACTAGTAGATGTTTAATAAGCCCTATACATACTTCCACCACCACTGAAGGGGAGTTGGGAAGAGATCAAGTCAGTCGGCTCTAATCCCCCGGGAGCTGGCACACCGGTGGCCCCAGCAACCTGGGATTCAGCTGGTGGAGACAGCGGCTGATCAGATGCACGGCCCCCATCTCACGGAGCTCCCCGAGGATTTCAGCCACCGTGGCCCCTGTGCTCCCAAGGGTCCCACCCATGAGTGAGCCTGCTCTGCCTTCAGGTGGCTCTGAATTGGTTTGCTGGTCCAGCGGTGGCGGGCCGAAAGCCCAGGCACAGCCCCTTCCTAGGCTCAGCTTTTGAAGGGATGATGTCTTGGGAAGTATTTGCCTGTATCCTGATCATTAAAAACATATAAGGACTAACAGAGCATTTTTAATAAAAATGAGTCTGGAAGACAGGCAGACAGGGAAGAAGGTAAAAGAAAGAAGAGCTATTTCTGGGCCCTAAAAATTTGGGTGGTGGCTCTAAAGGCCCCTTGCAATAACCTTAGTAATAGTGGAGAGCCATGTTACAAGAATAACATGGACAATCGGTCTTAAAAATTACAGCCTTTGACTCAGAGGAGTAAAGGAGAAGTTGCGGAAGTGAGGCCGATCAGGAACATCTTCTGGAGCAGAGAGCAGAGGGCTAGCAGAATGGGTCAGTGACTCTAACTGCTTCTGTTCGACAGGATTTGGCCCTGGAAGAGGCTGTTCTGGAGGAGCTGACCCAGAAGGTGGCCCAGGAGCACAAGGCCCACAGGTAGCGCGGGCAGGGCAGGGGGGGCAGGGGCGGCCTGGCGCTGTGCAGTGCAGTCCTGTCTGTGCAGGAGGCCTTAGCTCCCTGCACCTGGCCCCTGCCTTGAGGCTACGCAGTTCTGTGTCCTCAGCGTGTGATCCAGCTCTGCATGGGGAGGGGTGTGCAGATTTGAAAACTGCCCTATTTGCCCTCCCTCCCCTATCTTCTTTTTTCTCTCTCTCCACATTTCTTTTTTTCTTTTTCTTCTTTAACACCAGCAAGCCCACACAGACATGTGGTGGATTAAGAGAATTCCTCTCTGAGACCTTCCTAAAAATATCTTGCCAGACCTGGGAAGCCTGAAGCCTCCTGTGCTGAGTAAAGACCCAGTGAGGGGTCTTTCCCCATTTGGGTGGGAAATTCAAGATCTAGAGGAAAAGGAGTGAGACTGAAAGAGGCACCAAGAGTTTAATGTCAAGGCTGCTTGGAGCTCTTTGGGGCCGGTGGGAAACACGCATCCATCCTTCCCTGCCGACCTCAGGGGACCCGTGCAGGGTCCCAGACCTCTTGGCTCCCAAAATATCCTCATAAACTTTTTCTTTTATTTCCTTTTTTCTTTATTACCACTGGAGATTATTTACCCAAGTGGGAGAAAAATAACTTATATTTTTTAAAGCAGGCAGCCTTATTCATAGGGATGTCTGTAATAATTATTTAGTGTTTACAGCGCTGTGGGTCTTAATTAAATATTTTACCTTCCTTCTGTTTTTCCCTGTAGAATAAAATGCTGCTGGGGAATATGTTAATGAATTCCTTAGTAATGCACGGTCCCCTCAACTGTGGGCTGGTAATGGCTCTTCCCAGAAGGCAAGCTAAACTCTATAGCTCTGGAATTTGCCAGCAGGAGGGTCGATCTTCCACTGACTTTGTTGCTCTTAAACCATTTCCGCCTTTGATGCTTTTTTTGATTTCAGTGGAATCCTGCCAGCGGAAGCTGAGCTTATGTACATCAACGAAGTGGAACGTTTGGATGGATTTGGACAGGAAATCTTCCCTGTGAAGGTAGCGTACTCTGGCCCATCCTTGCTTCAACCTTCCCTTGGCAGCACAGACATTTGGAAAACCCGGGTCGATAGCAGCAGGCTGGCCTGGCTTGGCTTTCAAGTCGCTACATGGCCTTAGTTTGCAAGTCCAATTGACTTTAGGTAAAGCAAACACTTTTTCTTAGCTAAGCGATTCTGGAATTTTCCATGGTCTTCAGCAGACACTATCATATGTAAGACAGCTATCCGAGTGAGTACCAAACACCAGCCCGCCCAGCACTGTGCAGGTTCAAGGCCACGTCCGCTTTTATAGTGGGACAAGTAGCTAATGTCATTTGTGCTGTAACGAAGACCCCAGCTAGTAGTTTTCTTCCCCATCCTTATTCTCTTTTCTGTTCTTGGAGCTAATAAAGGGATAATTGTGAGGTAGAATGAAACATTTCCTGTCTGCAGCCCTACTTTATTCCTCCAGCTCTATAGAGCCTCTGTTGTGGGTTTCCAGCCCCTTCAGTGTTTTCTGGAAACTATGCCTAGGAAACCATTACAGCACATCATGTCCTTTGCAACAGATCCACCTCCTGAAGTGGGTGTGGTGGAGGTCATGGTGCACGGTCATTTATAGAGCTGAGCCCATAATCCAAACTCATTTTCCTCTCCCTACTGACCAACTTCACAAAAGACAGAGTTTTGTCAGAAACCTAAAGCAACTGGCACATCTCAGTGATTTGGGAGATGCCTGCGATTTCAGCACAAACATTGCACCTCAGACTGGCTCCGCTGGCTGTTTTATAAGTGTTCTGTTCCCCCTCTGTTGCCACGTTTGCAATTTGCCTTAATGAGAACTGTCCATGTGCATCAAGTGGAATCGAGCAGGGTGGCTGCAGCTTGCAAAAAGGGCTAAATGGCTCTTTTTTAGATTTGTCTAATTTTCTTTTGTTTCTCTAATGGCTGCCCTTGGTAGGGTAGTAATCCATTTTCCTTGCAATAATGCCTTATGAAGCCATCTGCATCCCACTTAAATATCAGCAGCCCATATATAGCCGTGATATTTTGGGTCGTTGAAAAATCTGAGTAAACTTTTCTCCACTTCTAGAAAACTGACTTCTCAATCCCTGAGCTGGGAGTTTTGTCATGGTAGTGATTTGCTTGTGTTGTTTTTAGGAATTCTGCTGAACTGTGTGGGAAATAGGGGCAGTCGAGATAGTGTTCAAATCCACTGTGCTTGGTTCTGATGCACCTTCTAGTATGTTCTGTACTGGGAAAGTATGAGGAGGCTACTCTACCTTGCTCTGAGTGGGCAGACAGGCCCTGCTGATTCACTGCCAGTGGGTGTCATTTAGCCGGGCTTCTTGTTTCCTTTTCCCCACATAGCTGCTCATGACTAAGGTGACCACCTACAGACCACATGGCTCCTGGCGCCCCAAGGATAGTGGGTGGGGCTGCAATGCCAGTGGGGGCGGTGGTGTGGTCAGCTCTCAGATAAGCAGAAAGCAGCCAGGAAAGTGCAGGGACAGATCCCAAGTGGTGATGGAGTCCCTTTTGGTTGATACAGGTCCTTACTGACCATGTCAAACAAAAAGGCGTGTAATAGATATGTCCTCAGGAAACCATGTCCAAGGAGGGTGGGCTTTTCCATGAGTAGTTTCTCGAAAAGTCTCAAGGCTGGAGGAGCTCCAGTCCATTTCCCAACAGGCCTGCCCTCCTCCCCCACAAACACAGGTATGGCCGCTGCCCTTATTGCCTCCCTCATCGCTGTGGGGAGGGTCCTTCTGGAATGAGTCAGTCTGGCACTGAATGGGTTGAGAAGAGGTCATAGAGAAGGCTCATCTTTGTGTTGTAAATGGGCTCGAGGAATCCAAGGAATGAAGAGGTCCTTCTTTCCCATCTCAGGCCTCACTGTGCGTGGCTCTCTTCTCCCTCCACAAAGGGGACATCCCCCCACTGGAAGCAGGGGGCTGAGCCTTTCTCTCACTCTTCTCTCAACAACACTGGCAGCCTGGTTATGCTGTCCAGGGCAGAGGTTGGAGGCACCTGCCTGGATGAAGAGACCAGATTGAAGATACAACATCTGGATTTTTCCCAACACAGGGCCCAGCAGATCACCCAGCAGTGAAGGCTACAGTCCACAGGCCTCTTCTGTGCCCATAAAGCTCCCAGTCGGTATGTTAGTATCCCACTCTGGAATGACAATAGACAGCCAAGTGTCACCCTACATGATGCCGTAACAGAAATGACAGCAGCCAACACAGTGAGAGCAGAGCAGCAGCCTGGAAATGGAGGGCCTCTGCAGGGGGAAGAACCTCCTGCCCCAAATACCATCCTGGGAGACTCAGAGATCAAAAACATGAAAACATCTTACCTCCTTGAAGGAATAAGATTGCTTTTAAGAGAGAACATTCAGAAAATAAAAAAGAACCCTCAGATATTAAAAATATGTCAGAAATGGAAAACTAAAAAAATAAGTTAGGAGATAAAATTTAGAAAACCTCACCAAAAAAGAAAAAAAAAAACAGTTATGGAATGTGGGAGGCAGGAGACAAAATTAGAGAGCCAGCCCAGAATGTCCCACATCCGATCCATGGGAGTTCTAAAAGGAGTAAACCGAGGAAGGAGAAGGTAGTAATTCTAGAAAATACCCCAAACTGGGAATGGTGAGGTTCTGAACTGAAAGGCCGAACATAGTGCATGCAAAGCCTGTGAGGAGACACACACTAGGGCTTTAGGGGTGCACGCTGGTGCCTCTAGGGAGAGGGGAAGGTGGTGGCCAGGTCTGCTTTCGGCTTCTTTTAAACAAGCTCTCAAGAATGTTCAGTTCTTCAAAGGATGCACGTGTATAATTTTAATTTAAAAAGCTGAAGTGAAAAAAGAAAAACATATTAATAGATACTCATGAAAGAGAAAATCTTAACTGCCAGCAAATTGGAGAAAAATCCTTGTGGATAAAATGAGAGTTACTGTGGCCAGGATTCCCACCTGCACACCTGGTGGGCACTACATGGCTGTTGACTCTATAAAAAGAGCTCTGCCCAGTGCTCTGGGCACACGACACGGTGGCACAGCTGCAAGGCTGCAGAGAGCAGAGCAGAGGCTGGAGTGGTGGCAGCACCGAGGACAGAGGCCCGGACAGAGGATGGCTGTGTGGACAGAGGGGCCCAGAGGCAGAGACCAGCCTGCTGCACGCAGACTCGCTCTAAGTGAACGGGATTCTAGTGACTGACCTGACCCTGGAAATAAAGTTGGGTATAACCCTTTCACCCCAAGAACATTTAGCTGTCATTTTCTTTGGTCACACTGAATCCATAGCAAACTTGCCCAGGGCTGAAACAATCCTTTAAGTAGGAAATGTGTTGTGACAAATTGAGATAAAAGAAAGAACAGACAGATATAGTCCATTAGGATGTGTGGTGGGTTGAGTCCCTTCAGGACCTAATCACCTTGCTACCCTGATGCCGTCTGGGACTCATTCCATCTAAGGGCAAGAAACGGGGTGTGGTCTGCAGAGGGAGGCTGCAGCCCGAGGGCTCGGTCCTGCCAGACTCCCTGTGCTCTGTTGTATCACAGCTGTCTGTTGTTGATCTTACGCAGGACAATCATGGAAACTGTGTGCACCTGGGCATTTTCTTTATGGGGATTTTCGTGAGAAACAGAATTGGAAGACAAGCAGTCATTTACAGGTAATCATCTTTGTGTCTTCTTACTTTTACCTTTTTCGCACTGAGGGACACCAGAAAACTCTATTGTGAGCATTACCCAAACTGAGTTAAGAGCCAGACTGTGCATCGGAGTCGAGTTTCTCTCAGCTTAGACATCAGCCCTGTGTGAGATTTAAGCGGTTGTAGAGAAATTCATCTCACTGTTCCTGGAGGCCTGTTTGCGGATGGGCGGGGTGGAGGAAGCCCGCTCTTCCCACCTGACTCCAGGAAATGCATTGTATTTCCCACTGCGCTAGAAAAGAGCAACTGAACTGTGTGTCCGGTTGGAAACAGACCTTCCAGTCAGCCTCCTGCCTACCAATTACCTTTGCCCAGTTCTCCATAACTGGCATTACATCCAAACTGGCTTCTTTTCATTGTCTCGTACTCTCTACCTAACTGAAGGAGCCAGAAGAGTACAAATTTATTATTATAGTAACAGAAGAGGATTATTTGTGAAAGTGTGGTTTGAAAAAAAACAATTTGTTATTATAAATTAAAGGACTTTGGTCATTTTTAATATTTGGTACCTTGACCCTCTTTTCCATTTAACAGGAGTTGAACCTGACGGGGGCTTTGGCCAAGTGTCCCCTCTGTTACGTGTCACTGAGCTTGTTTTCTATTGGTACCCATAGGTCACATCGTCGTGCCAATGATCTGAAAACCTGCATGCGTGTTTTCATTTACAAGGGCAGTGTGGCCCCTTCTGTACTGGGAGGACAGCTTCTGATAGGCAGAGCTGTGCTCATAGGGCAGATGATCGAAGGCAGCTCTCACAGCCAAGCTAAGCCCACCTTCTAGAAGTGAATCTTGGCCAGCCGTAAATCAGCAGTTTGCTGCAGGGCATTTTGAGAATGTTTTCCAACCAAAAGCTCTCTAGTTTGCCCTTTTTTCTCCTATTTCCCCACACTGCCATTATTTTTGTCCATTTATTTTCTCTTGCTCATTGGCTAGAGAGATATTTGGGACTGCAGAATAAACTTTTTGACTTTTGGACATGGCTATCTCTATATGCCTACAGCAAATAATAATCAATGGAGTTAAATATATAAATATTGCAGAGTTGTAACTATACATTTTTATGCCCATTTGAAGCTTTCCAGGTATGTTGTCCCACACAATTCTCCATAGCAAAATCAAGGTTTCATTTCTCCCTCAAGTCTGGGGAAGTCAGCAAGTCTTGCCTTCCCATTATTGAGGTTAAACAGAAGAAAATATCATTTGGAAAGTTTGCTGATCGTAAGCCACTCACAGGTTTTGTTCGGTTTCCTTAGGAACTGCTTCTAGACCACTGCTGTTGGCACTTATCTTGAAACCCCTGTAGGATGGGAATTCATTTCTCCTGTAGTTTTGTGTTAGTTATGCCACCAGGTAAAGTCATGGTGGAGTGAGGCATGGATTCAGAGTTTTGGCAGTTGACTGGAAGGAACGGAGCCAGAGGAAACCAAATATCGCTTGTCACTAGAGACCTTCACTGAGAAGCATGTAGCTATGAGTACGTGTAGACGTAATCTGGTGGAATTGGGAGTCAGCAGACAGCTGTGCTGAGCACCTGTAGAGAGTATGGCCCCAGCAGACATATCCAGACACAGTTGGTACTGATGTAATGGAGATGTGACGGGAGGAAATATGGCAGCTCCAGGTCTAAAACTCATCCATCCCTGATGAGCAGAGAGCATGTGGCTAAGCCATGTGCTCATCTGTATCTAAATTGCCTCATCTCTAAAGGAGGAACAAAAATAGCTGCCTTGTCTGCCGTAGACAGTTGATGAAGAACTGTACTCTACACAGATGGGAGCAGTATTTTACTTTTACGTCTTTCAGCAAACTTGGATTGCTTGCTGCCTGTCAGGAGCCTGGCTTGGTGTTAGAACAGGGAGAGGAAGAAAGCAGAGTCTCTAGCTTGGGCACAGGGCCTCTGGTCTAGGTTGGTTTAGTGAGGGGTCTAGTCCCAGAAGTAAACAATCGTGATACAGTGTGATGGCCGAGACAGGACTATGCCAGGTTCTTTCCTAGCATGTGGGTAGTGGGGATGAGGAAGGGCCTCCTGAGCTGGGCCGTAACGGAGTATGCAGGCAGAGGATGGCGGAAGCGGGACGATGGAGAGCAATCACAGGACAGGAATTACATATAGGGACACAGTGGAAGGTGGATCGTAGTACGAGGTCATTAGAAATTGGCTGCACGTAGAATGGGAAAGAGCAGCTTGCCTTCCTTTATCTGTTGGTTATTTCTGTGTGTCTTATTTTAGATAAAGCAAAGGGAAGGAAATTGTGTGTGTGCATGTAGACAGTAAAAATGCAGGTACATTAAACACTCCCTGGGCCCTTTGGTGGTATGATTAATCTGTGGTGTGCACTGCAACACAAAATCTGTGTGGATTCTTCAGCCTAGATCCTTGGACACACCTAATTTTTAAATATGCTTCTCTTCATTAAAATCAGGGATTATGGGAAATGCTAAGCCAGTTTGGAAATGTGAAAAGTGAGGCAGCAGAAGTCCCTTGCTTGCTGTCCTTATAGCTGGTCATAAAGGAAACCCCTTTATGAACAGCAGTATCTAGATTAATGTTACGTAGTATTTTTAGTTATTTAACTGGATGCAGCTTGCATTTTCTTTACTTTTCTGCTTTGAGAGAAGAAACACTTAGCTTTTAAAAATATAGGTAAATCATAATTTGTAAAATGGGACTCCACCGTAGCAGATGACTCTCCTGCCCTGATTCACAAATGCGTGGAGCACCTCTGGACAAATTGCTGCGTTTCTTTTGACCAGGTGGAACGATTTCGGGAATATCACTCACAACAAGTCGACTATTCTAGTGGAGCTCATCAACAAAGAAGAGACTGCCCTGTTTCACACAGTAAGCAAAATGGACAAAGGTGGGGTCCCAGGCTTGCTGTTTGACTTCTTAACTCATAATATCCTTTCCTTGCTCTCCCGAGAGCGAGAGAACAAGTATTCTATTGAACTGGTAACTTTCCAGCGCTTGCCCAGTGCTAGCATCACTCATATCCAGATAACGGTGGGGATTTCCTGTGTAAAATGCCGGGTTTCCAAGCTGTGCTTAGAGTCCAGGATTTGGGCTCCTCCGGCTGCCTTGGTTGTGATAGTCACCTTGTCTGGCATCCTGTGCTCCTCTGTGCTGTAGTTATGATCCTGACCCAGTAATCTCTGACTGTACTGTATGGCATGGTCTTTTGCTCGCTGATCTGGGTTTTCTTTCCCATCATAGCGCAGTCCTGAAGGGAACTGAGTGACGGTCCTTCTGTAGAGTGGACCTGTTACATGCCAAGACCTTTCATGCACCTCAGGGCCTCTCACTTAATGATGCTTGTTTATTCCATGCTCTGCCTTGATACATTTATTTATTGTGAAAGCACTGGGTGTGGAATGATGTAAAGGCATGCCAGTCTATCAGGGTAACTGCAGTGCTTGGGTGTGAGGGACTCTTAGCAGAGAGTGCTGCCTGCCATCCCTTAGTGGCTCGGCAGGCACGGCTGCCGCTGGCTTCCAGCATGTTTGTTGATTTGCAGCTCGGGGCTGTTTTATGCTTGACTCGAAGGGAGAACACAAGAGCCCCTGTTCAGAGGAATCCTAGTGAAATACAAGGGTAAACAAACAAATGTTTATTTTCTTCACTGTCTCTTCTTTTCTAAGGATGATATTGAAAATGCCAAGTATATCTCCCGGTTGATTGCTGTGCGGCACAAGTTTTACAAACAGAACAAAATCTGCACTGAGTAAGTAGACACTGAGTCCGCCCTCTCCCCAGGTGGCTTGGCCAGATCCAGTTCATGTGCTGGAGGGATGGTATATGGGGCTTTTTCCATTCACTTTTCCCCTCATTCCTTGTAGAAGCTAGAGCAGTTAGTGTCAGCTGGGCAGGTATGAAAGAACTTTAATGATGAAGACTGTCTAGGGTAGTGCCTGTGCCTGGGGAGAGGACCAGGCACAAATTGGCTGTAGAGGCCTGTTGATGCGGACAGGTGGCCCACATCAGTGCCTGTCCAGCCTGCGCTACAAGTTTGGAGGAACCGAGCAGCTCCCAATTTGCCTTGTCGCCCTGTTCAGATGGGGCAACAAGCGAGCTTGAAAGAGAAGGTGCTCCTGTCATCCTCAGCCCTGTTTCGCTGACACAGCTGGCTAACCCTGCGTGTGCTTCGGGGTCATGCCACCTGCCTGAAAATGAGAGGCCAGGGTAATTAGAGGAAGACTTGGAAGACATAATAGATGGCACGAGTCCATGTGTGTTTTTTAAAATTTAATTTGGAAATAAGGATGATACAGGGAGTCTGATACGGGACTGGGATGTGACCTGACCTCAGCTGTAGAGCGCCGGGGCTCACCGTACTGTGGCCGTGACCTCGGTTGCCTTCAAACGACGTTCCTCAGCAGAGTACATTCTGCAGTTCGGGGCACCCAAGGTGCTTAATTTTGTTTCAAAGAACTTCAGGGATGTAAATGCAAGGGAAGGACTCATTTTCCACTTCCCCAGTGGGCACATCCCGAGATGTGAAAGTAGTCGCCCGGAGCAGCTCCTGCTGAAGAAGGCGGCTGCTTTAGAACCGGGCGTCAGGTCCTGGCAGACTTTTTTCTCTGTGCGATGGAGGCTCTTCAAACCAGTCATGGCAATTGGTCACTGTCGGAGTCTGCAAGTGTATTTGATGGTATTAGGACTGCCGGCAAAGTTTGCAAATGTAAATCAGAAGGGCACTGATCAGGGGGCGGCAGGCTGAGCAGCCGTATCTGTCTTAGGGACATGCACACGCGCGCACACATGCACATGCCATCCCTTTGAACAGATTCCCTCTAGATCACTTCTGTGCCGTTCTACTCGGCTGTTACCTTTGATATGTGGGGGTGTCTCTGACATTAACAAGAATTTTATGGTTGGTGACTTCTGGAGGGTAAGTTTAAAAAAAACACTTGTGAGACCTGAATTTTACTGTTGTCTTCTGGTTTGACCATTCCTCAGTAAGTAGTGTTATTATAAGATTTTCTGAGATTTTGTATTTCTTTTGTGGTCTTTTCTTCTAATATTAGTGAGCCTCACATAGTAGACTGTAAACTAAAAAAATTCTGTTTTCCTTTCTGTTTTTGCAATGACCATTCTTTCCTTCTCCCTAAGCAGGTCCGGGAGGTTCCTAACCTCTTATCCCATAAAAGCTGGGGCTCTCTAAAAAGTATACACACACATCCCATATGCAGAGTGAATTCTGTATAGAGGGTCAGTCTCAGCATAGGCAGCATTAAGGCCTGGGATAACCCTCTGGAGTTTTAGGAAACTGGCATCTTCTCAACAGCATCCTTCCCCAAAGGTCTCCACTGTCTGACCTCTAAAAGACTGTCGTTGTTTTGTTTTGTTTTGTTTTGTTTTTTAAGCTCACAAACTAATGTTTGTCATTTTGTCATCTGCAGATACGGCTCCAAGGGGTGGTTCCCCTGTTTCTTGACTTGGGGAGAAAAATTGCAGAGAATGGAAGGGTGTATAACATAGGTCCGATAATACTGTATTTGGCCAGTCACTAAAAAAAATCCAGCATTACTATATTGTTTTCATCACTTCATAAAGGAGATTTTATTATACAAAAGGAAAGAAAGCTAAAATATCAGAAGAGTGCTTTAATTTGAAGAATTTTAGCTTGATGGAAAATTCTACATGTCGTGGGGTGTTTTTTTTTGTTTTGTATATGAACTCGCTAAGATTGGGGAAGTTGTTGCTCTGGAATTTGGGACCCATTCCTCAAGGGCACCTTTGCTTTCAGTTCTCAAGAATTTGATAATAATCTTAGTTTCCGCTCAGTTTTATCTGTATATTAGAAAAACATGTTGATTCTCAGTCTGGATAGGATCTGATCAGATAAATATTTGTATTATCTCAATTTAAAGTACCTTTGTAGGGTCTTACTAAAAAATATTGAATCTATTTTGGATTCTCATTTGACTGGCAGCATTTAAAAACAATTTTTTCTTCTTGCTTTTTTTCCTTATGAAAGACTTGACACATACATGAAGGTACGAAGAATACAATTTTTTAAAATCCATGTAATGATGGTGTTATTTTTCAGTCTTGCTTATTTCTCTCATAATCTTTAGAAATAAGCTCCTTGTTCTAATACTTTATAAAACATACTGTAAAAATATCATATGTTCCAAACATTTTGAAAATAAAAGAATAAGAAAAGAAATTGAACTTGTTCATAGTGTCACCCATCCTGAAAAAAATAATGGTTGTTTTCCTGTGAGTCCTACTCTTCTTGCCTATTTCTCCCCGTTGTCCCTCTGTCATCTGTCTGGACTTAGATCTGGTAAATAGAATGAATATAATATAAAACATTCTTGTTTTTTTCACTTTTCATGTAGACAGTCAAATTCTCCACCCCCTATCAGACGCCAGCCCACCTGGAGCCGGTCCTCCCTGGTACGTATAAAATCCTCGGTGATCAGATAATCCTGACTGTTGGGGACAGAGTGTCCTTTTATTGCTAACTAGGGCCTCATGACCAGGTAAGATCTGGAGAACACAGAAGGGAATCGGTCTTCAGGCAGGTCTGATTAACATCCATTTGTCCCCCTTGGCCCATGCATGTCTATCACTTCTCTGAGCATGGCGTAGGGTTCACCCTTTTAGAGTAAGTCTTGGTCCAGGCTGATGAGGGCATGCTCCATCAGCTGGCCACCTATTGTATATTTTTATCCACCTGCTTATCTGTTGTTTTGTTACTGTTACTGGTTGTTGTGTATAGACATGTCCTCAGTTATCAGCTACACAAATTCTTTTGTGTTTTCTGCCAGTGATAGAGCTTAATAAACTAGTCAGAAAATGTTTTTTAAATGAGCAAATGGAATGAGTCTCATTGATGGTCTCAGGTCAAGTATTCGGTGGGGAAGATTAATTGCACATCTTCTTATTTTAAGGCCAACAGAACTTGAATTGATCCCTTTTTCTACCTAACACTAGCTTTTTTTTTTTTTAACTGGTCCCCTTATGTGAATAAGGAAACATAACTCTAATTTCAGTGTATGTATTACGTCTGAGGCTGTTTTATTTTGAGAATTACCTAAGGATAGCATCATAGAAAGATGTGGGAGAGTTGGTTTCTACTTTTTTATGTCATGAATCTTTCAAGTTATGATATTTTTTATACGAAATCAAAATAACCATATGACCTTTATGTTTTTCTATGTGAACAGTTCCTTTGAGTCGATAAGAGAATAAAATTGAATTTCTCTTCCTATGGCTTATCTTCAACTTATTTAAAAGGAAAATTTTGAGGAACATTTTATTTTCTAGAAAATGCATACACATGAACTCTTAGAATTCTAGAGTTGGATTGTTATATCATCAGATAATAGTATTTGAGTATCTGTGTGAATATCGTTAATCTCACTATTCTGCACATCTCACAAGTGGCCCTTGCCTGGAGGGTCACTTTGAACTTTTCCTTTGTAGCACCAATAGATTTGTTCATGGCCCTGATTTCTTTATTCTCCTTTGTTAATATTTTCCTTTTCCCTTCTTGAGAGTCCACTTATCTTTGTTAGCAAGATAATTTTTCACTTATGTCCATGAAACACTATGAGAGGCAACGTGTTTTAAGACTATCTTGTGATTTGATTTCATCCTCATTATCTGGTGAAGATACAGAAGGTTTCCTGTTTTATTTGGATGGAGACAATCCATAGGAAGCCAAATTCGTGGCTTCTCCCTTTCCTCTGCCCTCGAGGGCTAAATCACTGTGCCAGTTGTTCCTTGGGATGAGTGAGAGTAAAACCAGATACCATTGTCTCCTTTTGGCTTCCTTGCTGATCCTAGGATTGCTGATGGCTGTTTTATTCTTGCCCTTCTGCCTATATTATGGCATGCAATTTGTTTCTGTATTAGCAGGCCTGGAAAGAAAGAAAATAATATATTGGCATATATAAAGAGATAGAAAAAATAATGTTATCCCGAAGTGGTGTTTGAAGGATTAGATATTATTGTTCTTTGCCTGCACATTTCTGCTAGTTCATAAAGTCACTTACTTAATTTTTTTTTTTTTTAATAGCAGGAGACGGCAGTGAGACAATTTTGCCTTGCCATATATTTCTATTCCCACCCCACAGTTGTTGTTTTTTAAGCCTCAAAACCAGCAGTCCTACTCTGGAAAAATTAAGTACAATTATGTATCACCATGAAGAGGAAAAACGTTGTTAAATTGCCCTCAAAATTCAGCCAACAGGAGACTTGGGAATATTTAGGAAAGTTAATATAGCACCTTTTCTTTGGTAACCTGAACTACATTCTGAGATTTATTTCACTTATTTTTTTTTTTCTTCTCTGATTCTTTTAAGTTTTTTGGATCCATTATCTTCATTTCCCTCATTTTTTGCCCTTTTGATGCTTAAGTCCTATTTGTAGCAGAGGAAATGGTAGATGAGTTATTTCATCAGCGTCAGACTCTGACGTGCGCTCTTCTTCTATGAAGGGATACTGAGAAAGTATGACCCCTACTGGCTTTGGGGTTTTTCGGCTTGATCTTAGCTTCTCTCCTAAAGCAGTAAACATTTAAACTAATATCTATATGGCTAATGTTAAAATAATCAAATTGAAATATGAGATTATCCTGTTTGGTGGTTTACAAGCTATTAAAGCTTTCAAGAATTATTTTCACATCAAAACTTTTTAAACAACTCTTACCTGGCACCCCAATCTATGTACATAAAATAGATTATGGTTGAGGTAGGGGGAGGGAAGAGGCTTGATTTGATTGACAGGGAGCTGAGACTTTCTGTGGTTAAGTGACTTGCTTATGATCACATTAGCCATTAATCCTATTTCCTTTGTTGGCTCACCAAATATTGAACCCATATAAGCATTTTATTTCCCTCTAAATGTTTACCCTCCTCTGCAGCAAGAAATTATTCAGCTGAGTCTAAAAGGCCATCTTTAAGAATCTTACGAAAATAAGTTTCTTCACTGAAGGGGTGGATGGTAGAAGTGGATTCTCTGCAAGACCTTTCCACATTTGGTTCAGCAATGGGAAGGCCCATAAGTGGTATTGAGAACTACACACTGTCATGCCTCCCGTTTCAGATTTTACACAAGTTAGCAAATGGGCCTAGCTTAACACTGCCCCTGTCCCTATTTGAGGTTGATGTGGTGCTGTGAACGAGGGTCAAAGAAGGTACAGCTGTGTCGATGTGTATGGATGGGCTTCTGGCTCCAGGAGACAGTCAATTTTGAGTAGAATGAAACAGGTCCCTTATTCTCCTTACTTCATAGGTGGAACATAATAATGTACATGTTCTGAGTTACGCCTTTTAGAAAGGCCTTGAGAGCTTTGCAAATGTATTAGAAAATATATTATACACAGGTACATTCATGTTGATTGTAGCCTCTTTTTCTTACCTTGCACCAGCCTCCTTATTTCTCTCTTCTTCTTTCTCCAGTCCTACTTAAACTTAGTGCTGAGAGTGGGTAGAGATGAGTGGGAGAGGGTTGGGTGGACAGGCAGAACAGGCATCGGGCACTTTGCTGGGACATCGGGGAGTGGCAGGGACTGTCATGTGCTCGGCTGGTTTTCTTGGAGAGTGGAGGGCTGTGTGTGCCAAGGTCTTCCCCCACCATGCTGTGTTCTCTGTTTTAGCCTCGGCAGCAGCCGTACATCTTGCCTCCTATGCACGTCCAGTGTGGTGAACACTACTCGGAAACCCACACTTCGCAAGGTAAGCCTGTTTGCCCTTTCCCCTTGTTAAGACAAAAAAGTTGAGTACAGGTAAGCGGTCAAGAAGACTGTCTTTCTTAGATGACACCAACACTTTCTTTTTAACTCTGTGATTGTCTGGATGGCAGCAGGCAGCAGCTTCGATTTGTAAAAAGTGTAGAGTACCCTTTACCGTTGAGAGAAACATTTCCCCAGAACTGGCTGCAAAGGGAGTTGGGGAAGGCAATGATCAAGTTCCTTTTCTCTTCCCTCTCATAAGTGGGCTTAGAAAGAGAGTGACAGCTGGGCCCAAAGGAATACTCTCGCCATCATTGCTGATATCAGAAAGCTTGTAACAGTCAGTCAGGTTTTCATGGCGAAGTACAGGCAACCAGAATAAATGAAAGAAATACACAAATCAGCTCTATCCCTCATTTTAGCTATTGCCCCATCTCTCCACCAGCCTTTTTCAGTGTGCCTGTTATTGCCTCAGAGGAAAGGAAGTCTGTTTTATTCCTCTTTTTTTCCCTAAACACTCCATGCAAAATGTGTGGAAAAAATCCATTCCAATGATAATTACTATAATAACAACATTTATCAAACAATTTCTCTCCTTACACAGTGTTCCAAGCACTTGCAATGTACAGTCTCATTTAACCCTCAGAATGAACCTACAAGATAGGTACTATTATTAGTTCCATTTTACAGACAGAGAAATTGGGGTATAGAAAGAGTATTGGAGGAGGGTGGATATGAAAATTGTATCTTGACTCTTGAGCCAGTACTCTTAATAAAGAATGCTAACTGCGTCTCAAAAAGGAATGGTATTTTATAAATGGTAGATGTTGACAGGAGGTTAAATGGACAATTAGTTTCTGTGTTACCACATGCCAGCTATTTTGAACCTCTGCACTGTCAAAATTTGAGTATGGAACTAAGATAATCGATACCTTTTAACAAAACACTACTTTTTATAGCTGACTAGCAAAGTTACAGTGTTTTTGTTTGGGAAGGCATGAACTCCAGGTGAGGTGGATAAATGCAACACTTGCGTCTGTGTTCTCCTAGTGTTTCTTACCTATCTCATCTCATCTGGTCCGGGCCCACCGCCCTCCTCTGCAGGCAGCTGAGTATTTTGAGTCACCTTTTCTGTCCTATCTTCCTCTACCTTTTCATGCTTTGATCTCGAGTGTGACAATGAGTGTACCTTTGCTCACAGACAAGTGTTTGGGCAAGAGGTGGTCTTGTGTGTGGGTGTGTTAGTGTTAAAGGAACACCAGACACCTGGAATGGCTCCCCCTTTAGCAATCTGCTTTTTAATCTCTTCAGGTGCCTCTATAAACGATCAATTATTTTTATGTGAACTGACCTCAACAATGAAACCAATTCTAGGGGAGAGTTTCAGGCAGTGGCTAAAAGAATTCCTAATTCTTATTTTCCCTCCATTGGTTGCTAATCAGAACGAAGTAGCCCTGCATGCTGACATCCTGACTGCTTTATTCACCTTGAGTCTGTATGAATGCTCAGCAGTCCCTTGGGTAGAGAGACCTTTTCTACTGCAGTCAGGAAGGTCAGCTCCAAGTATTCAGTAACTTCACATCTTGTCCTGTTGAAGTTCTTGGCTTCCTGGCCCAGTATCCAGTCCTGTGGCTCAGCCCTGCACAAGGGAGGTCTGCCCAACGTGAGGGCCGTTGTTGGTGCCTGACTTCAAAGTTTATGGCAAACTCGAGAACTTGTGAAAGCTATTCCACATTCTTTTTAGTATGCTCTGAAGTGCTCCTTCTATAAGTTGGCATTTTGCCCAAGAAATTTCCAGGTTTTCTATGAAATACATGAGTGGAGACCACGGCCTGTCACTTTCTATGACTTCTGTAAGTTAAAAAGCACCGCCGTGAGTGTGAGGGTGACCTTAATTGAAGCAGGGCGGTTTGGAGGTTCACGTGCCTCTGTTTGCCTTCTTGTAGACAGCATCTTCCACGGGAATGAAGAAGCCTTGTACTGCAACTCTCACAACAGCCTGGACTTGAATTATTTAAATGGCACCGTCACCAATGGCAGTGTGTGCAGCATGCACAGCATCAACTCCCTCAGCTGCTCCCAGAGTTTCATCCAGGCTTCTCCCGTATCCTCCAACCTCAGCATCCCCGGGAATGACATCATGCGGGCTGACTACATCCCGAGCCACCGGCACAGCGCCATCATTGTGCCATCTTACCGGCCGACCCCCGACTATGAGACCGTCATGCGGCAGATGAAGAGGGGAGTCATGCACATGGACAGCCAGAGCCAGTCTCTACGAAATCTCAACATCATCAACACCCACGCCTACAACCAGCCCGAGGATCTGGTATATAGCCAGCCCGAGATGCGGGAGAGGCACCCCTACACTGTCCCCTATGGGCCACAGGGCGGCTACAGTAACAAGCTGGTCAGTCCATCTGACCAGGTAAACCCAAAGAATAACCCCGTGCGGGGCAAGCCGGGGGCGAGTGCCATCTCCCACACAGTGAGCACCCCAGAGCTGGCCAACATGCAGCTCCAAGGTACCCATAACTACCACACGGCCCATATGCTCAAAAACTCTCTGTTCAGGCCGCCTCCCCCCTACCCACGGCCCCGCCCAGCCGCCAGCACCCCCGACCTCGCCAGCCACCGCCACAGGCACGTCAGCAGCAGCCCCGACCTGGTGACCCGCAAAGTGCAGCTGTCAGTGAAGACCTTCCAGGAGGACAGCTCCCCGGTGGTGCACCAGTCCCTCCAGGAGGTGAGCGAGCCCCTCACGGCCGCCAAGCGCCACAGCCTGGAGGTGATGAGCAGCATGGTGCGCGGAATGGAGGCCATGACACTGAAGTCACTCAGCATCCCCACGGCGCGGCGGAACACGCTCCGGGGGCGGGGCCCCCCCGCCGAGGGGCTGGGCGGCCATGAGGTCCCCCAGCTCCCCCACTATCAGCACGAGAAGACTTTCTCTGATGCCACGATGCTGATCCACAGCAGTGAGAGCGAGGAGGAGGAGGAAGAGGAGGCCCCGGAATCCATGCCCCAGGTCCCTGTGCGCCGTGAGAAGATGGGGTACAGCGCCCAGCTGCAAGCGGCCTTAGCCCGGATCCCAAACAAGCCACCGCCCGAGTACCCCGGGCCCAGGAAAAGTGTCAGCAACGGGGCGCTGAGGCAAGACCAGGTCAGCCTGCCCCCTGCCACGGCCAGGGCCAGGGTCCTGAGGCACGGACCGGCCAAGGCCATCAGTGCCTCCCGAGCGGACCAGCCGGCGCCCAACGGGCCCTCTCTCGGTCCCTCCATCTCAGAGCCCGACCTGACAAGTGTGAAGGAGAGGGTCAAAAAGGAGCCTGTGAAGGAGAGACCTGTGTCTGAAATGTTTTCCCTGGAGGACAGCATTATAGAGAGGGAGATGATGATCAGGGTAAGTATCTTCCTCACCCAGGACGTTTTGGGGGACCACTTAAACACGCTGGTCTCCCCAGAGCCTCCTTTTCCGTGATGGGGTAGCACATGAGAGAGCATACCCCTTAGGTGCTGAAGGAAGTGCAGGGCTTACTCAGGGATGTGCCAGGGATTTAGTGAAGCTTTTGGCATTTAAACAGGTAGTATTTCATTTCACAAAACTTTGTCTTTTGCCCCTTCAAGTAAATCTTCTATTCTCATTCCTTGGCTTTGAATAGGTATACTCGGGACAAAGAACTCTCATGGGGCTAGGATGTTACAGGTTGGTGGTGTTGCGATTCGTGTCTAGGCCAGTGTTTTACTGTTTTTGGAGGGTTAAACTTCCCATTGTTTGAGCTGCTGAGAGCTCGCCTTCCTACATCTCTTGGAATTTTCTTCCCCCACCAGGGAAAGCATTTTTTTTCTACTGAATTAGATATCAAAAGAGCAATGTCTGCTCAGAGCACAGCTTTCTGTATAGATCTATGTGCCAGGATGGCTCAACGACATTGATGAGACCATGATGTATCCAGCTGTATTTTCAGATTTTCTCTCAATAGCTGTTTAGCACAAAGCAAGAAAATTGCAATAAACCTAGAAGTTTATCTTTGAGTTTCAAGTCCCCACTAAGGCTTATTCTATCGAGAATTCATACACACATATGCGAATACACACAAAAATATACATATATACACACATGTTCACACTTATAAAACATTTGAAGATGCCTAGTATTAGCCATAAGTGACCCTCCAGTGTAAATGCCATACAGCAGGCCAGTTATGTTGTCTGAGCAAGAGTGTAAGTAATCAGCACACACACAGAACAACAAAGTGAATCATCCTGCTAATGAGAAATTGCTAGATTGTAGTCACTACTTTAAGAAATATTGCAGAACACGATTGCTGCGCATCCTGGAAATTTTCGCTCCTTTAAAAAAAATAAAAAGTCATTTCATTATAACTAATCAAACCCAGATTGGCTTCTCTTTTGCATGTGCCCCATCTGTACCATGAAGGTAGTTGGAGCTTATTTCAGGAAGTCCAAAGTTGTGACTTAAAAATTTGCTTGGGTGGAGCTCATTAGACTCCCTTCGTTTGTAAGTCTCCCTGATTCTTCAGTGGGAATCAGCATGAAAAGAAGAGTCAAGGACCAGAGTTTCAAGGAAGCCAAGGGCCTGGGCTCAGAAGTCAAATCCGTAGCAACTTCCATCACTTCAGACAAACCTTAAAAACGTCCTCAGCCTCACAGTGTTGGCCCTCAGTGGAGTAGGGCTGATAATTTGGTTCGGGCATAACTTTTTCCACTTTTTGCAAACCTAGAGGAAAATCATGAAAGATGTGCTTGTGCCTCTGGCATATAAAACATTTGGCCGGTGGATGGAATGACACGCGGGGGTGGGTGCCCTGGGGGAGAACTTTCTCAGCTTGGAAAAAGTAATTCATTGGTAGAAAGGGATTTTCTGCATTTCTTGGCCCCTGGCCCCTTTCACACAACTCAGCACCAAGACTCTAAGCATTCAGCTTTGCTGTTTCTGCTGCTAACTCCATATCTATTGATATCTGCAGACCCAGAGCCCCATTTTGATCATCTTCATCTTCTTCTCTTGTTACTGGTATCAAACAAAAGCCTGCAGCCAATCTCAGGGCACTGGTGCCCTCCATAGAGCTTCATGCATTCATCACAAAGGAGGAAGGGGACTTTCCACTGTGATTTCCACTGGGCCCTCCCATCCCATCCATAGGGATAAAAGTCTGTTGTCAACTGTACCCCTTCACTTACAGTTCGGGGCCATCATTAGCCCACCCCTTCTTTCCCTGTTGATTTTTTTTCCAAGTCCCATTCTCTCTGTGAACTCAAGGACTGCTACCCTTGGCTGTTGCCCAACCTTTGAGCAGGATTAGGAGATTATTTAGCACGTCAGTGTGCCCGGCAAAGTGGTAGCAATGCCAGTGGCACCGAAGTTTGGATTGGTTCTCCATCAATTTTTTTTATCAAGAAATTCACCCAGTGTCCTCCCCACCACAGGCAGCTTTTGCATGGCTTGTTAGGAATGGATAAGAAGAGGAGGGTGCCGGGGCCTCTCTAGGATAAGAAAACAATGAGAAAAATCAGATGGGAACCGGAGGGGACAGGTGTGGTGAGAACTTGCCCAATGGGCAACTTTCCATAATTCCTGAGCTGCTTGTCTGTTTGATGGATGGTTCAGGCCCGCTGTCTCGGTGGCTCCTCCTTGCCTGTTTGTAGCCTCCTAACCCAACATCAGGTGCAAGGAAAAGAAAGGCCAGTCAGATCATTGAGTTACTTTTTATGTCTGCTAATAAGCTGATAGAAGTGAGAAGGAGCTAAGAGAAAGAGTTTAATACTGGGATTTCAGTTTTCACTAGGTAAGTAGTAATCCTGCCCCAAGAAAAGCACATGGGTTACTTTTTCATTTGGGCCCAGTAAGGGTCACCTTACAGGCCAGTTAGGAAGTGAACAGGACTGTCCAGAGGACCTCAGGACCACTTTTCCAAAATTACTGCATTCTCAGAGCTTTCCTGAGGAATAAAATCGTTTCCCAACTAAAGAGATAACAAAAATAATTCTCCCTCACAAAAACAAACCAATAAGAAAGTTAATAAACAACAACCCCCAAATTTAAATCCAAATCTTCAAAATCTGCCTGGTACTGTGTCATAGTTAAGCCTCCTCCCCACGTGCTCCCTTTGTGCATCTGATGGGCCGGCCTGTCCCCGGAGGAAGCATCTTATTGGTGTTGTCACTCACAAAGGGCGGGGCTCCATTCTGACTGTAGGTGGCGGTGAGGGGTGGAGGGCATGTCTGTAGGGGTGTAGTGCCACCCCGTCCACCCACGGTTAGAATAATCCGCTAAATCTGGGTCATCTACCAGCACCATGGATCCATCAAGACACCTCTCTGGGGAGTAAATTTGTAAATGATAGACTGAGAAAAAAGTACATAAGGGCTTGAAAGGAAACTAGGGATAAGTGACCCCTTCCTCTGGGGCAGCCAGAAGAATCTGCAAATTGGCCTCACTCCCATTTGGGTCAGAATATTAAACTCTAAAATTCATCTGTTTGTATGCTTAATGAAGTCCCTCTGTCTTGTCTTTGAAGACAAAATTATTTTGGGGAAATGCTCTTCTTGGCTTGCCCAAAGTGAGGAAAAGGAGATTTTTCGTCCCTTAATCAGTCTAGAGGGCACGAGGGAGCAGAGCAGCAGACCCTGACTGCTTCGGTTTCGGAGTGTTGGTCCAGGAGAGGTTAGAGAGGAAATAAAAAAGCCACAATCCAGAGCCAGATGTTAACATCCAAACCTTGCGCTAAGTAGTCTGCTCGGCCTCCAGGTCCATATTCTTCCATAGCTTAGTCACATCCAGTGACGTCCCTCCACGGTCGCTGGGAGCCACGGTGTCCATTCCTTTGGGCCCTCGGGGTAAAGCACGAAGGGCACTGTCTGGCCGGTCTCCTTAGATGGCCCCAGGCTTGGTTTGACGAGGTTGCTAAAGTGCATCAGCTTGCTCTCTCTGTCTCTCTCTCTCTCTGTCTCTGTCTCTCTCTGTCTCTCTCTCTCTCTCTGTCTCTCTCTCTCTCTCTCTCTGGGGCTGATCCCCAAGGGACCAGGGACTCAGTTCAGGATCGACATCCTCAGTCTTGGCCCCTCCAAATGGAAACTTGCAAAGCTTTTTACTCTACGATTTATGTATGGAGCTCTCTTAACAACGCAACAGGCAGTTTTTGTAAGTGTTCTACTATTTAGTCTGTATGTGATTGGATTAGATTATTCATGAAACTCAGTTTCTCTTTTCCTTGTCTTCCTTCAACTTTGATCTTCTTGAAGCGTCTTGCTTGTATAGCTTTTTTACAAGCCTCGCGGCAGGGTGTATGTGTACGGAGGCTTTGCTCTTATTTGTTTGTTCATTCATTCATCCATTTTTAAATAAAAGCTCAGGAGTCCTGCAGGAACCGGCTTCTTCAGACACAGAGGGGATAATGGGAAGGCTGTGTTTGAATTTGCCCTACTCACAGTGATTGTCTGCATTCCTTGGCTGGAGAGTTACAGATTTGGGGAGATTAAAACACATTCCAGCATTCTACTGGTATTATAAACAATGAGAGCATGCCTTTTCTTGCCACAAGAATCTAGAGAAGCAGAAGATGGCAGGCCTGGAGGCGCAGAAGAGGCCGCTGATGTTGGCAGCGTTGAATGGACTCTCCGTCGCTCGGGTCTCCGGGCGGGAAGAGAGTCGAGCTGATGCCGCCCGAATTCCCATGGACGAGAGGGTAAGCGCTGGGCTTGTCAAACACGTGACCCATTTTCTGTGCTCTTAGGATTCCAAAGCTCTCCTTGCCCAAACATGCCAGCGCTAAGGTTTGTTTGATGAATTAATTCTTTAATTTGAAATTAGCAAGACCTGATCTATCTATGTTGTATTAAATCAATCCACCAGCCCCAAACACAGTGCAATGTCTTGGTCCAACCACTCAATATCTCTGAGCCTGTTTCTTTTTTTTTTGCAAAGCGGCGAAGTTAAGCAATTTTGTGGTATCTTTCAATTTCTATAATTTTTGTGAATGCTGACCCTTTATTAGAGAGATTATTTTACCTGAGCATTTACAGAATTCTTTCAATATGTTGTCCCCTTCTTTGGCTATATAACACGGCTGATTTATAATTGTTAGGATAAGGCATTGTGAGAACTTTGGTTTTGAAAAGCAAAGAGAAGTTGCATGTCAGTGTTTTAGAGGTGAAGAAAGGCATTCCTTTAGTTTTTAAAGGCTAAGAAACAAGTTGTATAAATTTAATAGAGTGCAAAAAACATTAGGGTTTTAGAGTTCTGTCAGTATATATGAAGTATTTAAATGTTTTTAGAGCCAGAAGGGACTTTAGAAGGATCATTTAATCCAGTTAATACCATGTTATTGTAATTGATAGTTTGGCTGTGGGAAAAATAAAAGGAGAAGGTGGTCTAATCCTCAGAACTAGACAACCGTGGACAGTATCGTCTTAAAACTTAGCTCTGTAAAAACAGTTTTGTAAGTGGAGAAAAGGATATTTGGATAATCAAGATTAACAATCCCCGTATCACTAGGACTTTAAAACGAGGTGTTAATAACAAAAATGCTGATTTTTAATTTCACCTCTTGCCTGGTCTTGTAGATTTATTCCGTTTACGGTGTGACTGAAAAGGAAATTGGTTATTGGCTAAGAGAAACTAGCAGTAGGGTTAATCATGAGCCCAAGTGAGCATTAATTGTACATCTTGAAACTACTTATTAACACTATCACGGTGAACATTTAAAGAAATCTGGTGGGTTTGTCACGGTTTTTGGATAATTCAGGGAGCTAAAGATTAATTTCTGTTGCAGTTCAGAACCCTGAAGAAGAAGCTGGAAGAGGGAATGGTGTTCACAGAGTATGAGCAAATTCCAAAGAAAAAAGCGAATGGTGTTTTTAGCACAGCTGCTCTGCCAGAAAATGCTGAGCGCAGCCGCGTCCGCGAAGTTGTCCCTTATGAGGAGAACCGGGTAGAACTGATACCGACCAAAGAGAATAACACAGGTTACATTAATGCCTCCCACATCAAGGTAGGAAGGTGCACATGTTGGAGGGTCTGTTAAAGATTGCTGGGGTAGCAGTAAAAATCCAGGGAGAAAGAAAAATGTAGGAATGGCGAACTGTGTGTCTTGGCTTGTCCCCAGACCCTGAGGGAGTGTTTTTGAATCCTGTGCTTTTCTTAGTCAACTGGAAGGGCATGCCTGTCACTGTGGAAAGAAGGAAGCCTGGTGGCCTCAGGGAAAACCTCAGGTCAGCTATTCTGAAGCTTGCTCATTAAAATGGATTTAACTTGGGCTTCTCTCTGGGGGTTATAACTCTCCCTAAGACTCACGGGAAAAGCTGAGGGTTGTCCTTTTCAGTTTATAATCAGCAGATGATGGAGACTTTCGAAATCACAGGCATTGTATTTCTGTCACTGAAGTATTGATGATGTTCAAGGGCAACAGAAACTTAACAATTCCTGTAATAGTACAGGTTATGCTTTTTACAGCTGAGATCCCAAATTTGCATATTTAGAAGACTGATTTAAACATAAACCATGTAAGTGTGGTTGATGTTGAATCTTGTAAGATTTGCTACAATGCATTAATGTCATTACGTTTTGTTACTACTTCAAATGCTTCAAACCTTTGTATCTCAGTATTTCATAGACTTTAAAATTAGTCAGCTTGGCTCAACCCCATTTAGAATTCAAAATTATGGAGATATATGTACTTACAGTTAAATGTTTCCTAAATACCTTCCCCTCCTCAGTGTCCCTAATATCGGAATATATTTGTTTAGAATGTCGCCATTTGCTCTGACCTCTGAAGCAGAAGAATTTATTCATACGCTCATGTTAAAGCATTACAGGATTTTTTTTTAACAATGCAAGGCTCTCAGTGGTCTTCAGTTATGATCAATAATCTTAAAAACTTGTCTCTGGCCTTGTGTAGAGTTTTTCTTTGTTCATTGAACTTTTCAACTGGAACTGAATTATTGGTAGCTTCCTTTGAGCCTCTGAAACAGCCAAATGTCTGGTGCATGTATCAGTTATAACAGTGTCAACACAGATTATGGAAAGTATACCATGGCTGGGTGCATAACCATACACATAATTAAGTATTATAAAATACTGTCTGAAGAGATGAGAAAGAGCAACTATCATGGATCTATTGCTTAGTTTACTGTTATTTTGGGGAGTGAGAACTAAAACAATAAAAAGTGAGCCCTGGAAAATTCTTAAGTAAACTGTCAGTGGCAAGTTTCATGGGCTTAGATTAGGTTATGAAACAATGACCAAAATAATGCGGTCAAACAAAGGTGCAAATCACACAGCTGTTGATAAAGTGTGTGTGAAAATCTCACATAGCTGTATTATACTGTTGTCTTCTTTTGGCCACATCTCTTCTACCATTTCCCATCTGCTCTCTGGAAAAAAGCTGTCACTGTGCCTCAGCTGGGTCCATAGGGCATTGTTTGTTCCCTTCCTTAGTATTCTCCGAGGCCCACATTTCATCTTGCGGATCCGAGTTAGACATGGGTGCATTTAATAGACCCGGAGAGCTTGCAAGAACTTGTTCTTGTGTTTTTGGAATAGAGTTGTATATCTTGCCAATGTTTTCTCTCTGGGTTCCAAGCAGCCATTAACACAGAACAGAGATTTATTTGCTCCAGAGGTGGAATCACATCTATGAAATCTACCTCAGTAGCATTGGTTGTTGTGTTTTTAATGCAGTTTTTAATGCCCTCCTGTCAATACTTGGAATATGCTGAAAGGCCCCAGGCAGCAGCAGGCCCTGGAAGTCTTTATGGTTCCTATATGTTAGGTGCCAGACAGGCTAATGTTTAAAATCACAGTTCCACAGATAAACCACATTCCTAGCCAGCCAGCAAATCTATGAATGTTATCTCCCACCAGTACTTGGAAAATGGATTTTGCTTGCCAGCTTTGACCTAAACATATCTTGTGTAATGAGACAATAACTGACATTGTTTTTGTTTAAATCAAGTTAGTATATAGTTTCATAAAATAAATGAGGAACAAAAGTTTCAAACAAGGATCGCTTCATTGCTCCTATAATTATCTAGAGACCTGCACTGGCAGTTCTGTCTTTGCAATATCAAGGCTCGAATGAAAAGGAACACAGAAAGAAGCTCTCTGAAGGTCACCATTTCATCCAAAGAACACGACCTTCAACATTTGGAGCAACTTATGTATAGCTATAGAATTATCTTCCCATTTCACCCTGAGCTGCATGAGATAATAATTTTATTATCCAAAATCGTGACTCCAAAGTTCAGTCAGATGCTGTGTACTGCACAAGGGAATGTTAAGGACAAAATATCATGCATTGTTGACTCACGTGCATTCACAACACCTCTACCCTGTGGGTGACAGCACAGGATAGCGGGTACAGGGGAGGTTTGTGACACACTTCCTTTCACAGCAGTAGAAAGCCATTGCTCCCCAAGGGATGTCATTCCATGGTAGACTTTTTTATTGTTTAAAAAGATGCCAGAGAGCACTGTTTCTCAAACTGTGGATCACTATTAGTAGTGGGTATAAAATCAGTTCATAGTCAGGACCAGTATGGGTGTTTTCTATTGTGTTTTTAATGAAATAGACCAGAGAAAAGAATGGAAATCACACATAGTAAGCATAACTATTATTTCTATTACAAATTCTGTTAGGTTATACACATGCATATTCATGTAATATTGTGTGTGTGTGTTTCATATGCACTGGTTTGTACATAATCACTGTAGGTTGTGGACCAAAAAGGTGATTAGGTATATTTTAATAGGTTTGAGTGCCAGGAAGTGTTTTCATGTGAGAATATGTCACGAGCATCTGTGGTCTCAGGGTTTCTGATAATGGCATTAACCCATTTGGCCTAAAGTATTATCTAAGGTTTTCTGGTGGATAGAGATGCACCGCTGACCAGTGGATAATTCTGCCCTGGATTTGGGGCTCACTGACCCATGCTTTCCTTGGCTTCCAGGTGGTGGTCGGAGGGGCAGAATGGCACTACATAGCCACTCAGGGGCCCCTGCCACACACGTGCCATGACTTCTGGCAGATGGTGTGGGAGCAGGGAGTGAACGTGATCGCCATGGTCACTGCTGAAGAGGTAAGGGGACTGGCAGAAGAGCCGTCTGTTCCCGAGGCAGTGGGGGGGGGGCCAGAAGGGGGACTTTGTGTGGGTGTCTTTGCTGCCCATCCACCTTCCCATGGCCCCAGTTCTCTGCAAATTCTCTTCTCTTTGGCATGCATCTGCTCTCTCTTCTGACTTCCACATAGATTTGTTTCATTTTCCGAAGGTAATTTATTGTTGCAGCCTCTCTTCACCCAGCTTTTAACTCCTTTCCTTGGATTTCCATTAGCTAAAATGAAACACACAAAGGACCAAACTTCAGTTCCGCCAGCTCACTTGTGTGTGCCAAACAAAGCAATCATCTTTCCACTGGAATCGGAGAACTTGGGGCTGCTCTGGGTAAATCGGCCTGTATTCCCTACCCTGGGCATGACTGGCTCCACATGCCATCATGCTTATCAGCTGAAAAGAAATCAGAAGTTGTTGTTCCTGCAGAGGTCTCTGTTCTCTGGGGAGAGGGGAAAAAAATCTTTCTCTTCCTTTGCCAAATCAAACATAGTTATTCTGTTGTAACTAGAGAGTGCTACGTGGTGTTGTAAAACCTGGCACACACCACCAGTGGGTCCAGCAATTCACATGAAGCTTGCTGTCTTTGGGGAAAGAAGTTTTGTGTTTCTTCTCTTGGCACCTTCTCAAGTTTTAAGTTTAACCACTTCCTTTTGTTCCTTACATTTAATTTTAACTTATGTTTTGAAGTCATTTAAGGGACTAGCTTCATCTGCTTTTTACCAGTATCTATGCTATTGCTTATCCCTTTCCTAAAACGTTTAAAGGGTGGGCAATGGAGAGAACTAAACAGAAAGTCACATTCTCTTGACTGACTGTCCTGAGCAATCGCATTCCAGAAAAGTCCACAGAAGATAGTGGTGAAAGGGACTCTATGCTCCTGAGAATCCATTGTGCTTCTCTAGGCTGACTTTCAGTTTGACCTTCCTACAAAGCATACATTCTCCTTAATATATCTAGAAGAGTTTTATCACCTTATAAGATTGCTGTCTGTGCTAACCGCAGGGGTGTGGGGGTAAATAAGACAGGTGTGATCCCCGCCCACAGGGAAGGACAGTAGAAAGTGAGCAAATTAAGTATGCTCAGACAGTGGGAAGTGCCAAGCAGAAAATGGGACGAGGTAATGGCAGAGAGAGTGGCTAGGGTGCTATAAAGTAGGTGGGCAGCCAGGGGCCCTTTGGGGAGGTTGCATTTGAGCCGAACCCTGAGTAGCAGGAAGGGGCCAGCCTGAGGAGCACAAAGTCTGGTGTACGTCTAGTGTAAGCTAGAGGCTTAGAGCCTCTTGAAGCTTGCAATTGATTTAGGTGCACAGCAGTAATATAAATCAAAGGCCTCAGATAAACCTGCTTTCATAGGATTGGCAAATAAAAGAGGCAGGTGTGTTTCAAACTCAAGAAGACTCAGTTCAACCAGATGGATCGGGGCAAGATTATTTGTAGCCCTCGAATATGTGTTGCTCAGTAAATGGGCCAGCCATCAGGGCTCCCCTAAAGCAAAGGTCCTCCCGTGCTTGCGGCTCACTCCCACAACTCTGTACACTAAGCATTTCTCCTGTCTCCACCTACTTACTGCCCGCCCCCTTCTAAGCCACCATCTCATCCCCCGCCCACTTCGGTGATTTCAAAACTCTGCAAAACTCAACAACAGACCCCATTTTGTAAATGGTTGAGAGTGCATATCCTCAGAAATGATTCTAACATTAAGGGGGAGAGAAAGGTGGTATAATCGGTTGTTCTCTGTTTCAGTTGTCAATGGAGTTAAAACAAAAGGGTCAGGCTGAAAAAATGTGACTGACACTAGGCGGTAGAGATAGAGATAGCATCTGTAGTCAGTGTGGGACAACAGAAAGAGCACTGGGTGGACTATTAGAAATGAGAAGCATGACCTAGGATGAGTACTGGACTCTGTCCCTCCCCTGCCTAAGGTCACTCCATCACCTGCTACTGACCACAGAGTGAGATCTGAACTCCTTAATATGAACTGGGAGGCCTATGCCTCTTGTCTACCCACCTTCCCTGCCACTCGCCAGACTACAGCCACCGTGGAGACCATTCTGTTCTGAAACATACCAAGCTTGTTCCTGCCTCTGGGTTGGCACTGGCTCTTCTCCCTAACATTTAACTGTAGCTCAGCTGTGACCCGTAAATTTTCCATTGATGTAGCAACCATTGTAAATCTTACTACTGGTCTTAACTGAAATGCGTGGGATCTCCTCTGTGGTGGGCACCGCACAGTGCTGCTGAGTTAGTGGCTTAGAAGCCATTCACATTTTCCTCCATCCTCAGATTTTAAGATTGAAAAGATAAGAACTTCCCCTGACTTATTTCCAATTTTGCTTTTGTGTGTTGCAGGAAGGCGGACGCACCAAGAGCCATCGCTACTGGCCCAAACTGGGTTCCAAGCACAGCTCAACCACGTATGGCAAGTTCAAGGTCACCACAAAGTTCCGAACAGATTCTGGTTGTTATGCAACCACAGGCTTAAAGGTCAAGCACCTTTTGTCTGGGCAGGAAAGGACGGTGTGGCATTTGCAATACACTGACTGGCCAGATCATGGCTGCCCAGAGGATGTCCAAGGATTCTTGTGTAAGTTTCTTCTTCCGCAGTCAGGGTTCTACCAACTTCATCAGTGGTCTTATCAGTTGGAGGTAAGGAGGTGAAATGGAAAGAGAAGATGCTTTCTCTTAAGTGGCAAAAGTATTATAACATTGAAATATATATTCTTTCATATAGTATATGTACAATACAGAACACTAGTATGTGATTTATCATATTCTCCTTAATTTTTACGCAGATACACTAAAACCATGGTAAACCAGTTGGTTCTACCTTGATTTAGGTTCTACTCATTAATAAATAAGTATTCTGATACATGCCACATGTTTGAACCTTAAAAACATTATGCTAAGTAAAATCAGACACAAAGGGTCAAATATTATATGATTCCAAATATTATATGACGTACCCAGAATAGGCAACTTTATAGGGATAGAAATTATGATGGATGTTACCAGAGGCTGGGGAAAGGGGGATAGCGGGTATTGATGGGTGTGAAGTTTCTGTTTAGGACAACAAAAAAGTTCTAGAAATGGATAGTGGTGATGATTGCACGGTGTTGTGACAAACCTGAAGCCGCCGAATTGTGCACTTAAAAATGATGAAAATGGTAAATTTTATGCATGTTTTAGCACAATAAACAGAGCAATAAAGTAAAAAAAAATCATTTTTTATTTCACTTAGAGGTTTGCATCTCACAAGCCCTGTATTTCTCGAGAGCAGAAAATCTCCATCAGTACTTTCTCATACCTATGATTAAGATACTAAGACTTACTGACATCAACTTGTAGTTTTTGAAACTGGCATTTTTGGATTCATTAATTTATTTCTTTCATGGTGTGGCTATCTTAGGAACTAATGCACTGCACCCAGATTATATGCAGTGCTTAATTTGAAAGGGCCCAAACTGGGTGTGTACCTATTATGTGCCAATCACTGGACTGGTCCCTTAGAAGGAAGAAATGAAGCTGTCTTTGTTTTAAGGCACTCCCAGTCTCATGAGCAAAGCAGGCCAGTAATTACAGGCTGGGGTGAGATCTGATGCCGTCACCTGTTTTTTAGTGATGGTGGCAATGTGCCCCCTTCTTTTCCACAGTGGTGCCTAAATGTCCTGTACTTGGGGGGAGCCCTGTTCCTTCCCTAATCCAGCTGTGAAGGCGGCCCGAGGGCGGGCTGTCTGCAGGTTTATTATACCTGCTATGTTGCTGTAAGTAATGTCGAGAATCATCTGCTTGGGGGACTTTGGGATTTGCAGAGGGGAAAACAGAATTTAATTTTTAAAAAAGACCTATTTAATTTAAAGAACAAATTCTCCCGTGGACTAATCGACTTCCAGAAAGGGAAGGTGCCCATCTTGCTGACTGTCCAGCTGGCTGGATTACCTGTGCCCACAGTGAAGGGGTTGTCATATGGATGTTAGAGAATGTCAGAACTTTGATTTTATTTTGTTACTCATTTAAAACAGGAAGGTGGTGGAGAGGAGAAGAGAGAGAGAACAGGTTTTCAAGTACCTGAAAGTACCATTTCACAACAACAGAAAGATTCTGATTATTATTTGTTGATGCAAGTATTTCATTTCCCATTAAAGTGATGATGATAATTGAGTTGGACATTGAAAGTAGAGAATGGAAGGGTGATTAGAACCCAAGGATCTACAGTAAAATCTAGATGGAGAGGGCTAGTGGTTTGCCTGACTGAGGTCAACAGATTATCAAAATATTAGTAAGGAGGGCAGTGACCTTTGCGGAGTTTTCCTTCCTCATAACAGTGTTCTTATTCCTTTCTGGTAACCTTTTGCTAATTAATTTATTAGAATTTTCTCTAAGACACAGAAAATGTTTCCCCAAAAACAATAAAAGTGGATCAGTTTGATGATTGGCTAACAGAACAGCTCTGATAAAAGGTTTTGTTTCTAAGGCAGTTAACATTTTAGTCAAATCTCTTAATTAAATCAGAACCAGTGTAAGGAAGGTCAATCACAATGACCAAAAAATAGAGAGAATATTTTTAGACAATATAAATTTATTTGTTTACATTTCTAAGAAACTCAGGACAAGTATACTGAGCAGGGTCTTAAGAAATGTTGGCCCTATAGGTTTTTAAGAATTTTAAGAAGATTTTTGCCCAGATTTCAGTTAGGTTACAGAGGACCTCGGCTTATTGTCTTCCAGCCTCCAGATATCCTCACTGAGCTATTAATATGATTGTTAGTGAAAGCATCCATTTAAATCCACTTTCTCTATTTTACAAAACTCTTTTTGATGGTAGCATCTGCTTTATTGTTCAATATTCCTCTTATATCTTAAAATTAGCACAAGAAAAGCCTTGTCGTTTGCATGTGAACATTGCCTTTTGTTAGAGAATGCTCAGCCCCCCCAATATCTTCCCCCTTGCAGAAAAATTGTAACGAGAACTCCGTGCACAGTACTGAGCTCATGTTGGTGCCAAATAGCAATTACTCAATCTCGTCAACTCAAACCGTCTTCCCCCTTTTTTGTGTTTTGTTCCATCTCATTTTACATTACTGGTGGTAGTGGCGGTGGTGGTAATAGCAGTCATAGTTTATGTTGGTGAACTATGTCAGATTACTTTGTCATTAAATAAGTTATAAAGGAAAATAGGAGTTCTTGTTAATGTATATGAAGAGATGCTTTTAAATTGAGCATGACTCCTCTTATTTTAACACTGCCGCAACAGATTTTCTGAGTATCAAGAGCCTTCAGATCTGTTTTTGTCCTGAGCTATCTACTACAAAATCTCGATTATTAATTGACCTTTTCTGGTTCTTACACTTTTATTGTAAGGATGCCATTTGTGTACTTTTCCTTTTTTTCGTGCTCATGAAAAAAAAAAGGCTTCCAGGCTTGTATTGCTCTAATTTTTCACGTGCCCAGTTGAAGTCTTGAACAGGTCCTGTGCCGGCCTGCTGAGATAGGCAGATGTTAGAAGGGATGGGGAGGTGGGGCGATCCTGCCACCCACACCCATGTGGCCTCCAGAAAGGGAAGGTGCCCATCTCGAGCTGCTCACATAACCACATGGGCTTCAAGCTGAAAGGCAGACCCTCCAAAAACCTGTTTTAAAATCTAAAAATTAAGTCAAGCCTCAGTTGACATTCACTTATTCAGCGAGGGGAAGGAAGCAGGGGCAGATGGATGTGCTCCCTGCTAGAAACTGGCTCTGACAGGCGGGCGTTTCAAGGGGACCTCACTGGTGTTCTGATTCCAGTCTGTTAATAGTAGGAATTGCTGTAAGTAATGTCGAGAATCATCTGCTTGGGGGACTTTGGGATTTGCAGAGGGGAAAACAGAATTTAATTTTTAAAAAAGACCTATTTAATTTAAAGAACAAATTCTCCCGTGGACTAATCGACTCCCAGCTGGTCCTTTCTGGATCCAGGACTGTACAGGAAGTGGCAGCCAAATCATTAGTGTCTTGTAAGAACTGTAAATTATTGTCACTTAAAAAAAAAGGTTCGCCGTCAGTTCGTTTTTTCCCTTCACTTATATGCAAAGCCACGTAGGACTTTGGTGACAAGATTTGCATTTTGTCTCGCAGCCTACTTGGAGGAGATACAGTCGGTGCGTCGCCATACCAACAGCATGCTGGAAGCCACGGAGAACCGGCACCCACCCATCGTCGTCCACTGCAGTGCTGGGGTGGGAAGGACCGGTGTGGTCATTCTTTCTGAGCTGATGATCTACTGCCTGGAGCATAATGAAGTGAGTCACTGTGGGCTTCTCCAGACGCTTCACCGTGGGGACACACGGCTACCTCATGGCCAGACCTGTGACCTTTTGTTTCCAGTGCTTCGTTTCCTCTCTCCTGACCAGGGTTTTCCAGGCCCATCACTCCTAGCTGGACTCTGACCTTTGCAACCTTCCTTATCATTTGCCTTCCACTGTTCCATGTAGATACCCAGACAATCCAGAAGAAGGGATGAATACGTGAGATAGACACAGAAAATCTGCTCTGAGTCACCATCTACTTCCTGAAGTCTGCAGACTTTTGTAGGCCGCCTGGTTTTATTGTGGGTAATTTTCCATGGTGGGTTATTTGGTTGCATGTCATTTAGATGCGTCTTGCATTTCTGGGATGTTTTGGCCAAAATCCTATGTGAAAACGTGTATACTTTAAAAATGTTTTTCATTCTTCAGAGAGAGGTTTTATTTAAAAGAGGTGGTTTTGCTCCATTCTAGAGTGACAGTGGTGAGATACAGCAGCGCCGGGTAGATAATCTGAGTGCGTGGACGTGGCCTGCCTTGACCAAGGCTGGATGCCCAGCTCTTCTCCCCGGACAAGTGGCCTGCGGCCAAGGTTGTGCCAGCACCACGTGCGGCATTCCCTGCCCCTTACTGTGGCCGCAGGTCAGGGGGTTACACTGAGGGGCTTTTGGTTTGATGGAGATAAGACAGAGCAATCAAAGGCTAAAGAACAACTCTTCTGCCTTCTGCTCACATGGGGCTTTAGGAGTGACTTTCACTTCTCTTTCTTTAGTTGGGGTCCTCACAGCTGGGCTTATGCCAGGCCTCCTGTTTTACAGAGGAGGGAACTGAGACCAAAAACAATTTAGTGGCTTGTCCAGGGCTATGTGGCTCTTAAGCAGTGGTGCTAAAGTGAGGTCTTCTACCTCCTGACCCCAAGTGATGTCCTGTCTTCACTCTGCCTCCCATTGTCACGTGTCATTTGGTTCTTGTTCCATTTCCATATTATACAATGTGGGGAATCAAAGGAAACTGTTGACATGGTTTGGTAGTTTTTAAATTATGGAATGTTACCCTGCACATTCTGTGAAAGATTTTATGTAATAGTAGACATTTTTACTCAGTGGCATCAGTGGTTTGAAAATCAGATGAAATATTGCCCCATGAAACTTGTGATATTGAAGCTTCTAGGAAGATAATAGGTGCTATGTTTCAGCCTGTTCAAAGGATTTTTAAAATCCCTGCCTATGAAAAGTTCGTTTCAATCTGTACCTATGAATATTTGTGCTGCTAAAAAGTAAAAAAGGGGTTATACCAAACATGGTCTGTTCTTAAAAACAGACACCCTATCATGGAATCAGTTGAGACTTCAAAACAGAAATTGCATCATCTTCATCTTTATCCTTTTGTCTCACAGGAGATTTCTTGATTGCTTGCTTCCCCATCACTATCTGAAGTCTCTAGAAGTCTCTAGAAGTCTCTAGTAGTATGAAAGTCTGTCGCTAAGTCCAAAATCCACTCAGGGCTGGGAAGATGAAACAGGATGTAGTGGCATCAAGGTCTATATGGCCTGAGCATGTCCGAGCTCCAGTGGGTTCTGGGGGGCAAGAAGGACGTCCTCATGCCCTCCCCACCTAGGTCTGTCTGTCCTCCCTCCTTGTACCAGTATCGTTGCCAGATTCCCCCTCTCTGCTCCATTCCCTGTGCGTTAGTCCTTTGCCCCACCTTCCTCCTCTTCAACTCAAGAAGCTATTCTGTCCATCTTGCCTGACAGGAAGGATTGTTCTGTTCTGAGCCCTTTAGAGACCCGTCAAAAGCCTTGGAAATGTGATGACGTGAAGGCTCATTGATCACCAGATGTTACTGGCCCAATAGAACATAAACAACACATGTCAGAGCAGCATGGTGCAGTGAGGGGTTCGGCCGCAGGCGCCTCTTGTGGACTTGGTGAGGGCTCGGGGCCATTAGATTCTCTACGGTGTGGCCAAACAGAGCACATTTCCTCAGTGCCCAGTTCCATGCCAGAACATTCTTTGCTGGAATGTGGTCAGTACAAAAAGGACTTCTGTTCCCATTGATATTCAAAGATAGCAAGATGACTCATATTTTTCACTTCCCTTCCCCTAGCACAAATATAGCCGCCTTATCTGTCCCATTTCCCATAACTGCTATTGGTAGATGGTCAAGGAGGAGAAAATTCTCTGCTTTGTTCTGCTTCAAGCCTGGCTAGTAAGATTCAAACCCCTGTTTTGGGAGAAGAGTGGAACATGTTTAGGTAGTTTGTTTTTGAAACAACGATTTTGACAAATAAATATGAAATTGTGTATCCTATTTTTTTCCCCAGTCTAAACTTTCCTGCTTTCTTTCAAATGATTTCTAGATTGAACATATTTTATGTTTTACTCTATAATCTGTATGTACAGCTTTACTTTTGTCAGTGAAATGCCTTTTCTCTTTCTTTCAACAAAGATGCTTACAAAGGGGGCCAGGTAGCTGTGAGGTGTGAGGATGGGAAGGGATTCTCCCAGGCTGCTCTAAGAAGCCTCTTTGTGGCCCGTTGCTCTTGGTCACTGAACGTTAGCTGTAACATTTTGATACCCTTGCTTTTTTTTTGGAAAGCACTAGTTTGTAAAGCGCTAGTTTAAAGCGATGGCTAATTACAAAGGGTTAGGTTCCCACTAGCCAAATAACAAGATGTCATGATCTTGCTACTTTTCTAAGTAAGTTAGCCCCCTTCATAGAGGAGAGAGGGGGAAATGCATTCTAAGCAAGACTGGGCAGACATCAACAGCCTCGTGGGTCTTTGACTTTGGGTCTTTGTCCATTGAAAAACAGACAGCAGAGCCTGTGAGAGTGAATCTTCCAATGAGCTGGGACCGTTTCATTGAGAATCAGGGGAAAATCTTCTTTGTCTTGTGTTCACACAGCCCCATATCACATAATATACCGTCCTTGGGGCTGAGTCTTACAGCGTGTTGAGATGGTAATGATTGTGATGGTGGCAGAGATTGAAGTGAAAGTGGAGGAAATGGTGGCGGAAGTGGTGTTAGTGGAGGAGGGGGTGACGACAGTGAACACAATAAAAATATTATAAAAGCAGCTAACCTGTATATAGTGTTTATCAAATGTGCCAGCACACTTCTAAGAGCCTTACACCTCAAGGAGCCTTCGCAATAACCCTGTAAGAGAGGCCCTGTTAGTAGCCTTGTACAGCAAAGACAAAGTGCGGCACGAGTAGATGAAGGGATGTGTCCACATCCCTCACCCAGGCAGTGGGCGCGCTGGGGCTCGGCCGCTGAAGCCTGACCCAGCGCCTGTGCTCCTGACCTGTGTGACCCTGACTCTCTGTCAAAGCCTCTGATGGGCCTGGGGGAAGAGCAGCCTTACTCCGTCCTTGTCTTTGGTGCCCAACAGAGTAATGCTCATCAAACATTATGTTAATTAAGTTCATTATTAGGTGGCTCTAGGCCCTAGATCATGGTATCGGTCTCTCTGGAATATAGTTTAGGCAGGGACCCACTAGGTACCATCAGAAGCCTACAGTCTGGGTTTCTGACTAATAGTGTGAGGATTCACGTGCCTTTTTTATTACTAGGGACTTAACTTTGTCCCTTCTAACTGGTTTGGGAGAAGGGCGAGTAATATGGATGGGATGTATTGTATCATAGCTACACAAAGTTTGGAAATAGCTGGAATGACTCTTGAAAGTAAAGTAAGAAAAGGCGTACAGCTAAACTGTATTGCTTTGCTTTCAGTGCTTGCTCAGCCCTTCGTAGCTTCGTGGGTGTGGCGGCTTGTGGGTTCCAGGCTCCCGGAGCAGAGGGCCTGTGCCACAGCCACGAGGGCGGCCTCGTGGACCCCGTGGTGCTCCTGCCCTGGCTGGCCCAGGGCTGAAATGACATGGGGTTGGGGTACCGGGGCAGCTCTGCTCTCCCCAGATGCCGGTGAACCAGCATAGTAATTCCCTTCCGTTGAAGATACCGGTATTGTCAAAGAATTAACACATAGGCAATCTCATCTAATACTCAAGCTATTTGAAAGTCTCACTCCAAACATGCTGGTGTTCAGAGATTGTGCTTCATGGTAGCAGGATGGGCCTGGTGGTTCTCATCTCATTAATATTAATAAAGTAATAATGAGTCGTCTTTGTTAAGAACTCTGTGTACCAGACACTGTCTACCTGCTTTCCATGCATTTCATCCTGTGATCCTAGGCAGTGGTACTATTTATCTCCCCTTGCTGTTGCTGAGGATGTGTTACAAGCTTGGGCAAGGTCACACTGCCCTCTGAAGAGAGCATCCTTGTCCTTATTTTACAGATGAAGAAACTAAGACCAGAGAGGCCTTGAATCCCACCCCTGGGTCATCATGATACAGGTGGAAGTCGCAGGCAGGTTCAAGTCCAGCCTCTGTGTTTTCTCTAATAGACTGCTCCGTGTTTACAGTGCCACCCAGGAGCACATGGTGACCAGCTTCTCCAGCGGCTGGTATCAAGCGCTTGGTCGGCGAAGCCTGGAGGGGCCGAGTCCTGTGCTTCTCCTCGTACCCGCACACAGGCAGGGAGTGGACGCCTCCTGGAAGAGCGCATGAGCAATGATCCGGGGGGGAGGCTTCCTGTCTCAGCATCTTCTGCTTTTTCTCTCTTTCTTGCAGAAGGTGGAAGTGCCCATGATGCTGAGGCTGCTCAGGGAGCAAAGGATGTTCATGATCCAGACCATCGCTCAGTACAAGTTTGTCTACCAAGTCCTTATCCAGTTCCTCCAGAACTCCAGACTCATCTAAGCCCCCGTCTCAGCTACTGGAAGAGGGACCCCACTCCATCTTGCGGATGGAGAGGCACCTCCAGACGATGTCTGCTCCCCGAGCAGGGCGCAGATGGCCGGAGCAGGCAGGCCACATGCTCCCCAAGGACAGGAGCCGAGATCCTTCACGAATGTCATAGATTATTTTATATGAGATAATTTATTTTTTTTCCCCTTTCTGGTGAATCATTGTAACGTGGTTTTCACAGTATAGTACTTTTCATTTGAACCACATTTTGACTGATCTGCATTGTAACATATTACTAGGGAAGGTTGCCTAGTGGGTCATCTGGGGGACAGAGGCATAAGGGAACACATCTCTAGTGAAGTCGCAGCCAGATTTGCAACCAGCTCTGAAATTCATCAGCCTAATTGCTCATGTCCAAATCAAAGACAGCAAGAAAATAAACTCATCCTGAAGTGTACAGATAAGGGCCAAAACGTTCTTGAAGAGAAAGCTCTCTTATATTTAGGGGCTTGTGAATCTCCATGGCTGGTTCCCTCCCTTCCTCCTCTCTGCCCTCACCCTCAGAAGTCTCTTTCCATCCAGGCTTGTTTTAAAGATGGGAACAGCTAGAGGGAATGCTGCCCTTAAGGTGCAGTGATTGCCTCGCCCTGGCTGAGTGAGGCACTCTGGGCCTGATCTTTCCCAGCCACTTCTGCTGGGCTGTGGAATCTGTGTTTCCCACTGCACCCCTTGTCTATGCTGCCTCTCCCTGTTTGCTCAGTGGGCCCCAGTCTGGTGGCCTTTGAGGCCCTGGGCCAGGCCATCTGTGCAGCTTGGCGTCTTGCCTGATTAAGAGAAGATAATGAGTCAGAGTGGGAAGAGAAAGGAGGCAGGCAGGGCTCTGATGCTGGTTCTTATTAATCTGCTGTGTGTGCTGGACCAGGGCCTGAAGGTCGAGGGGCTGGGGCATTCTGCCTGTGCATCAGTCACCAAGTCATTGGAAAGGCTGGAAAGGAACCAGTTGGGGAAGCTAAATTATGGGGGCTGCTTGGCGTGCAGGAGGCAGGGTCCCTGGCCAGGGTCCACACCGCGTGGAGCCCCCACTGTGCTGCTCCAGCTCCAGGCTTTGGCTGCAAAGAACCAGGCCCACTCAGGACCTGGAGTCCAGGTCTTGGCTCTTTATAAACGATGGCGCAGTTTGTCTCACACCGAGTCTTTTACTGGCTTACCTTTGTGGGTCGCCTCACTCTTTGGCTGCTTGTGGGTTAAACCTGCCCCCACTTTGGAGCTCCGTTCTCAGTCTGTCTCTTCTTGTGCTTTCCCAGTCACCATCCTGAATTTCTTAGGTCAGTACATGATAAATTATATTCCATGCATTTTCCTTCTTGCTGAATTTTGGGGACTTTTTCTCTCTATTGTCTAGTTTTTCTTGAATGCAACTTTGAAATTGTGGTTCGCTCTTAGACTTGCCCTTTGCAGGTCTTCTACCAAGTCTTCCTTCACTGCTTCCTTCACTGTTTGATTTTTTTTCTTTCCTGAGCTGAAAATGCAAAGAAAGAATGAGCTGAAAAATCAAATCAAACAGAAAGCATGTGCCTTTGTGATTCCATCACCACGTATGAACAGGTGGGTGTGCAAGCAGGTTCCCATCTGACCAGGTGTGTGGTACTTGTTCCCTTATTGAGAACAGTGGCATCTGGCCACTGCTCTTTTACAACAAAGTCTGAAGAATCCGTGCAGGAGTATAACTTCAGCTGAGCTCTGCAGATTCCAGAATTTTGGTATATGCTCTGAAAAAGAAAATTGTTTGTATGACATGTATTTTCAGTGGAGCAGAGCTCATAACCGTCAACTATGAGACACTCAGGACTTGGACCATTGACAGGCAAAGACGTTATTGGTTTCCTTTCCTTAGAGATGTTGCATCCTTGGGATATTCTGCTGTCAGGATTGTTTTAACACTTGGTCCGCAGTTACTGGTTTATTATTTGATGAACATCAGTATTTCTTTGTCATCTCTTAGGCCCCCATGTGCACTGTGAAACGTCTCGCGGGGGAAGCGTGTAGACCTGTTGTCTCTCTGAGCTCCTCGCTCCTGCTGCCCCTCTCTGCCCACCTAGTGTCGCTGCCTTATGCTACAGGAATGATCGCTCATGCACACAGTGCAGGGGAAAAGTAGGTTTGGTGTGCATTTTCCCAGCCAAAGTTTACATTGAAACCCAAAGGAAGACATTGAAAAGTTATCCCACAGACTTCATTTTTAAAAACAAATGCTTAGAGTCCTGTTAACACATTTTGTATTCCTGTTCCCATCTCCAGTAAATGCCAACCTAGCTCCTGTTAAATTAGCAGCAGCCACTTAAAGTCCTTTCAGTGGCATCTGCATAATAATTGCCCAGAGATGCTTTATACCCGGGCAGCAAGCCCAGGAATAAACCTTGAAGCAAAGGGTATTAAATTAGTTATCTAGTTAGAGCTTTTGGAATGAGTTCCTGACGATGTATTGAGTCGGAAGCTGGAGCTGTCGGGGTCTATTATAGCCGTTTGGATTTGAAGGGAGAAAATTTTAAATGGAAAAAAAAAAAACCATCTCGCCACAAAGCCATCAAACACTTTCAGGCCTCTGGTTTTAAAGTTTTCCTATTGAAATGTTTTGCATTCTTGCATCTGCACTCATTTGCATACGTCGACCTAGTGTCCATCCTTGTTTACTGAGGTCCCTGGAGCATGAGGGCTCAGTCTGCTGTCTTCATCCTTGAGGCAGGCTGAGCTTTGACAGTTTCCTCAGGCCTCAGGGAGACACCTTTTTGGTGGCATGTACGGTGATATATACTTTTTTCCTGGATGGAAGGAAAAGCAGGATTTGGCTGCACTGAGGAGAGCTGTCCAACACTGATCTTTGTAGAGTAAGAGGAAGGAGCCCCTCTCCTCAGCTGGAGGGAACAGTGAGACTTGGAAAGGGGAAAACATCTCCACTTGGAAGGTTTTGAGTAACAAGCTTTCCAAGAGCCTAAATAGAGAGAATGTTACTTTTACAACCTTTGTGGTCCCAGACCAAGAAGAGGAACTAATTTTTTACTGTAATTTTATCAGTTTGCCTAGAGTCACTTGGTCATTTCTGGCCCATCCCTCCACCAGCCTGGATAGAGGCTCTTTGTGGGCTTCAAGTGGGGGGCCTGTGGGCCTTGATCACAGGCTTGCCCAGTACTCACGTGGCCTTTGTCCTGCCTACTCTCAGCTTTTGCGGTTCAGTTACAAATTCCCATGAGTACAGCAGGTCAGTGTTTTTATCCAGCTGTCTGCTTTTCTTCTCCAGCCTAGTGTAGGTTGACCCACATGATATTTCCAGTAGTTGGGCCATATTTTGTTTCCAGTGATAGAAAATGCATGTGACTCAATCTCGCAGGTACAGTTTATGTCTTTCCTTATCTGTCATTTCTCCAAACAAGTGCTAATGAACATGAAGGTGCGTGTGCTTCGAGCAGTGTGGCTCTATCTGTGAACTCAGCGCCTTGCGGTAGTGACCCTTGCTCACTCGGCGAGTGGCCATCTCCTGGGGCTTGGAGCTCGCTCCCCACAGAGACGGTGGGACCTTGCTGATGCCCACAGGCCCATCACTGTGGAGCTGTCAGCTGCCATCCTTCCGCGATGCACAGTCTGCACTAGCAGACCTCAGCCCAGTGGTCATGGAGCGTGACGCATGCGCCTGAAGGCGTCCTCAGTCGGAAAGCAGGATGTGCGTGCTCCTCTCTGCTCTCCATTTCCAGGGGTGTGTTTGGTGGGGAAGTGGGTATAGTTACTGATTGTCTTTGGGGGGTGATGAATCACTCACTTGAGGCGGGTATCAGGGAACAATGCAGGGGCATTCCAAGATGTGCACCAGGGAGCTTAGACTCAAGGGATGGGACTGGGTCAGACCCATGTGAGTCTTTCCTTCATTCCTCCTCAGGAGGAATTATTAGGGTCCCGGAGTGAGACGTTTCCAGAAGCACCAACTAATCACTGTTAGGCTCTTAAGATGGCCCTTTGTGGGAATTCGGCTTCCTCCCATTTCACCAAAGGTTCTCCTGCTGTGTTGTCCTGGACTGCCTGTGGGTTTTATCAGACACTTGTCACCCTCTTAGTAATTTCTTTTCTTGAGCAAAATAACCCATCCAGCACTGCTTCCAAAGGGAGAAATTTGGGTTTTCTGTGGATCCCGCACCAATTCTCCAGTGGTCTACACTGTTCGGGGCGACAAGCTAGTTGGCTCTAGAGGATGGAAATAATCTTAGTTGGCTCTACAGGGTGGAAATCTGTAAGATGTTAAGTTGTGTTTGACACGGCCCTTGGATTCTGAGCAAGAAAGCAGAATGCTAATCGTCTTTGCCTCAACTTCCAAAACAACTGGGGGCAAAAGACCTTCCTCATGCATCTGTTGAAAGCAGCAGCAACACACCTGGGGGAAACATGAGGGTGTATCCAGTCAAATTCTGCTGGCCCACATGTGTTGTCCCTGAAGTCACTGTTATCTGTGGGGTCCTGTGAACCTCAACAGCCAGCCTGCCTATACTCAACCTTTATCCTGCCTGCTCTCAGGTTTTGCATGTGAGTTATATACTCAGGTGGGTAAGCATTTTTATCCAGCTGAGTACCCTTTTTTTTTTTTTTTCCAGCTTAATACAGCTTCCTCTTCTTTGGCAAGGTCAGACTGAAATGTTCCCTAATTAAAATGTCCATGAGCCTGGCATTGAGTATCTGGCATCAATCGATTTCATTAGAGTGGATAGTTTATTGTTTGTTGTTTGGTGCGGGGAAGGGGAGGATGTGCATGAGTTCCTACTGTTTGGAGCTTCGGCCAGCCCTCCTATTTCAAAAATAAATTCAAGGACAATTCATTATA